CGGCTTTGAAGAGGGCTTCGACGGAAGCTCTGAGGGCTCCCATGCCGATTCTAGTGTGTTCGTGAGATGTAGACCAGACAATGTCGTTATGGGAGAAGTAGACGGGGGGTCCCTCGTCGAAGGTTTCGGATCTTGTGCCGATCCGGCCGCCCTTGGACATGGACAGGTCGAGGATGATCTGTTGGTCACCAGCCCAATCTCTGCTGTCGGCAAAGACAAAGATAGCCTCGATCACGACGTTTTCAAAGTCGCGGGTGCGTGAGTTCTTGAATTCTTCTTCAGTAAGTTTTCGGAAGGGTGTGGTGTGTTGGTTGTATTTGATGATGTCCCCGGGGGTCACGACGTCCTTGAAACCGTAGCCTTCCGCCACGATTCGACATTTCTCGCCTTCTCCGCCCACCACGAGCACTGTGTTGTATTTTTCAGCCATCTCTCGCATGGGAGTGTGGCCGCAGATAAACTGGCCAGGCGAAACTTCGAGTTCTAGCTGTCTGCTTAGATCGATACATCTCTCTTCTTCTGTCTTGCCTCCACCGTTCGTGACGAAAATATAGGGTCTGGATTGTAGAAGAAAAGGATCGTTAGCTGAATTATAACCAAAAATACGGATAAATCGATTAAATACTTACACTTTCTCCTTGAATTCATTCTCCCCGTTCAGCACTTTCATAGCCTCAATAGCAGCAGGAATAGCTTTGCCACCCCGAATAAGAACTCCATCGATATCAAACGCGAAGGCATATTTACTAGCAGTAGCATGGCCATCATCAGAGGTTGGTGTGGATCCGCGAGGAGTGATTTCAGGTGAGGAAACGACTTCGTCAAGATGCAACTTCGCCACCGACATCGAGCGTGCAGATTCGTAGGCGCCGCTGCGAGCCATGAGGTGCTGAGGAGGGATCACGACGCTGGGACCGCCATAGAGGTCAGCTCGAGTGGCCTCGATACTGGAGATGCGACGCACTCGGCGTCCGGAGGATATGAAGTCGTCGGTAGCCGCCATGGTGAAAACACAGCTGGAAGGAACGAGTGGGTGTTAAAAAGCGGGAATAGGAGAGAATATAACGTCGACAGAAGCAAAATCGATCGTAGGGGTGTATGTGTATGTGTATGTGTATTGTATGTGTGTAGGTAGGTAGGTAGGTAGGTAGGTCTATGAGAATGTATGGAAGATTTTCCTGTCCTTCTCTATAGTTCTATTTTCTTTTTCCCATGTCCTTTTTATGGGCCCTTTCAGTAGCGCAAGAGAAGATCTGGGGAAATTGAGAACGAAACTGGAGAAATAAATAATGGAGAAACTGGAGACAATGAATGAAAATAAGAAAAAGAAAGGTGAAAGTTTAAAAAATAAGTAAAAATTAATAAAAGTAAAGCCCAGTTCCCAGAGGAGGGAGGGGTATATATTATATTATATAGGCGCAAACTCCTCCCCCTTCCACCACTCCCTTCTCTCCCTTCTCTCCCTCTCCCATCTCTACTCCGCCCGCTCCTCCTTCCTGGTAGACTATAGTAGTAATGTCCACCATGGTGATGACACTCCGCTCAGCAGTGGAACCCGCCGTGCTGAGGATCCACCACTAACGCACACCAACAGCCTCTTGTGGAGGATTACTTTCCGCTAAGTTTCTATTTATCCTCGCGTGGAGACTGGGACTCTGGGAGCAGCATACATACGGGCAAACCTTGGGTAGTGCTGGGATGGTATAGTGCTGCTCCTGCACCATGGAAGTTAATCTCTGTGTTTCGAAACGGCAACTGGAGGGATTGTGTGGCGTGTATCCGAGGTTTTTGGAAATGAAACGGAATAATACACCATAGTGATACCCCGTCTTACCACATAGATATCATAGATATCATAGATATCATAGATATCATAGATATCATAGATATCCGGATGCAGAGTGCCGTGTCGAGGTATGGTATGCCAACAGCGTCAACGATCAAATCGACGTCAGCGGTTGAGTTCAGTTGAGCCGCGGCAGAGCGGGGCTTGGCGTGGAACTTGTGGCGGTGTGCGTGGGGATTAGTTAATTATTATTACGGCGACGGCGGACAACAAGTACTAGCTACAAGTTTGATGTGTCTAAAATACGTGCCAGAACATTGTACTCAGTACGTCAGGTACTGTACACAGAAGCTCTGAGAGTTTCACTCCTTACGCTGTTACGCAGTACACCGTTGGTACCAGCCACGTATGGCGTTTCATATGCCAAGTAACTTCCCGTGGTTAACGATAACCCTATAGATACTTTTTTGGACTTGGGCCAGGGGCAACACAGGAGAAACCTTGGCTGCTATCCCTGACCACAAGGAGAGAAAAAGGGCTTACAGCGTCCAGAATATTCAACAGGGGGAATTGATTGGGATCATGTATCTATCTCATTATTCATTATTCGGGCATGAGAACGGTAAAAACTACCCCTCCGTCTCAAATCCCCAAAGTTTACCAGTTCCCGCGAATAATAAAGAATGGAAGGAATCCACATGCATGAAACAACCAAAGAAAAGTGAAAATGAAAAAAAATAAAAAATCATGAATTGCATTGTTGTGAACTATGTCCGCCGGGTATAGTAGTAGGTAGTACATGTACATGTACATGTACATACATTACAGAGAGACATGCTAAGAGCTACGGAGGCTCAGAGTAGGAGCTATCATACTATAGCGCTTCTGTCCGTGTCAGAAATGCTAGGTACTTGCAGTAGCTTCGACAAATAATGGAGCTCGTTGCCTCCCACATGTAGCAGTCAAGTCGAGTCGTAGCCGGAAATAATCATAATACATAATGCAATCCATTCAATCCCGGGTTTCGTACTTCGGCTGTCAAATAGCAACGCTGCATCTGGATATCAGAGAGGTATATATGCATGCATTTGCACGCAGCTCTAGAAACAAACCAAAGAAGAAGAAAAAAACCAAAAAAAAAGATCCGCCAGTTTAGTGCTGATGCACACAGTTTAATACTCTCATCTATTCCTTGAAACTTGAACTCACAAATAGTCTGATATCCCCCATCTATTTCATTTTTTAGGCACGGCACTCCAAGGAACCCGGCCGAATCATTTGTCTTTGCCCCAAAGATTAGCTTTTTCAGTTGTATTCCTTTATAACTCCATTAATAATTGGCCGGAAGTCGAATTTAGTTCAGTTATCCAATCCATTGAAGCCGCGGAGACAAGACAGTTGTGTGTTGTTTCGCATACTCCGTACTCCGTCCGTACTGGTTGGATGTTCTTTCTCGTCGTTCAAGTGTCATCGCCAAGAAAGCCTGATGAGGGGCGGCTGAACTCGTCTTGGCGACAGCTGCCTAGAGCTGAATACAGTTTAGCGTGGCCCCGTTGCCAAGCATATTAAGGTTTGCCAAGACCGCGCTTCCTCTACGCCAGCCACAATGACGTCATGGGAGTGAGCTTACTTTTTGCGGGAAAAGAGGGGTATAACGCTGTTATTATTTTCACAACTGTATCGTAGGAGGTTAGTTAGTTAGAAATATATGAACTGGACCTATGGTAAGGCGAATGGACGGACTCGGCAAGATGATAGGATTAACTGATTGGGCTGTTCCGGCGGGTTTTTCAGATATGTAAGACAGACTCGTCAATCGGTGGTTAGATGAGGGGCATTGGAGATGCGTCAAAAAAGTCTTGTTTTATGTATCCCCTCATTTGTCCGTATGAAAATTAAAGAAAAGCAGAAATGAAACTTAATTTCAGATATTCTTCTTCTTCTTCTTCTTCTTCTTCTCAGCCCCCTTACGCTGTACATGCCCCCCTGTCCAACCCTACCCGCCGGCTTATCTTCCGTCTGCGTGCTACAAGGGCGCCGCTGAGGAAATGGCGTATCTGGGATCATGGATGCAAGACCAGCACATGCATGTGTTCCGCCATTGACCTCATCGTGCAGCTGGCTGCAAGAAGGTGTTCTCCTTTCTTTTCTTTGTGTCCCGTACTGAGCTCAACCTGGTAGGTAGGGGGAGAGAAGAAGGGGGCGTTGTGGATAATAATTGAATGCTTGACGGATTTCTATCTCATCTTCTCCGGAAGCACACATTGATTGTCCAGCCAGAATAATAATAATAATAACCTGTGTCTGTCCCTCCATCAAAATCAGCATCGCTTGCCCCCTGCCGCTAGAGGTTTTGCTGAGAAAACCGGGCTGGCTTGGCTTGACATGGTTGTTTAGCCCTGTGGATCATTATTCACGGACCTCGTTTTTTGCTTTTTTTTTCTTTTCTTTTTTCTATCCTCGCTACGAATTGTAAGCATACTCATCAGTGTACACACAGTTAACAGAAGAGGAATTTAGCTATGGAAAGGAAGGATTGAATCATCCATTGATTGGTTGTATACACACACATAATATATCTTTGCAGCTTCTTCTTTCATAAAGGAACGATTAAGAGACTTTTTTTTTTTTAACGGGTAGAACTGGGTGGATCAGGCAACACTCGTATGCCCCGTATCTCCCGTATATTATATGCATGTGAAATCTATCGCTGCGATGATTATGATTATTTGGTTATAACTTGTTTCTTCCTCAATGTGATTCATTTCTCAATTAAGTATGGATGAGTTGAGGTAGAGAACCGAAACATTTGCCGGAGAGAACTGGATTGACTTTTTCTGCTGCTGGTTCGAGGAAAGAAGTATATAAATATTTGCTAAGTAAGGCAACCGCAAGATATTTTCGTGGGTTGCTGGAAGAAGCGGAAAAGGAAAAGAAAAAGAAGAAGGGCGGGCATGTACTTGCGACATACACGGAAATGTCAGAGAATAAGGAATGCCAACATGTCTATGTGTGAATGTCTATTATGTATATATGCAGGTATGGCATAGGGAAACCATAGTGGAATGGGTAAGTAACAGGAAGCGCCGCTTCGATGCAGGATTTTTTTGAATGGAAGAGTCAAGCCAACAGCTAAAAATAAAAATAAAAAACAAAAATAAAAATAAAAATAAAAAAACAAAGAGGAATTTGTAGACAACAATCGGCTATGCAGTTACTTTTTTTTGATACAGAAGGAAAGCTGAAAACAATAGAAGAGATTGGTCGTGGTGGTGGTAGCAATGATGTCAACATGCAGAAAACAATCGCACACACCTTCCAGCACTCACATTTCAAACACTTGTGCGTATCTTGACAAACCCAGCAGTTTACAGGCTGATTATTGCAGGTTATGTTTCTCTGTGAGGAAAGTGCGGGGTTAAAGGTAGGTAGACAAGAGAAAGAAAGCGTATCCTCTTTGCAGCGAAACACAGTGCCTGATTTTCAGATCTGAAATGGGTTCGCAAACCTCTTTGGTCTGGAGGAATCATGTTTTGTTGGTGTGTACTGATTGTAGGAGAAGACGGCATAATTCGAGACGGCAAGAGGATGTCGCGGGCGTAGCTGGAGAAATTCCGTCAACATTGCCCGATCCGACCGGCAACATGATAGGTCAAATACATACCCTCGAGCTGGGATTGCTCAGAATAACAAGAGTGTAACCTGGCGGTCCTCCCATAGCGGCGTCCCACGCTGCTGTACGTACCCCGGCCTGTCCTTAATTAATCTCCTCTCCACTCTGGCCCCACTCTTCCCATGTCCCTAATCCCCGGGGTCAACTCTTCCAGGTTCCTCTCCCCTCCTTCACATCAGAAAAGAATATTGTGGAATAATGGCAAGGGGGAAAATATAATAATGAGGGTTACGGCGTCAAACACGGAACTCGGTGTCCAGCCAATGCCTCACTACAATCTTCCCTTCCTCGAATTTCTTCTTCGGCATTCGAACAATGATAGCCGCATGGCTGTGGAACACCTTGTGGATATGGACCGGGTATTTCCGGAACCCAACAGAATTGAGGCTGTCGATTATCGCGAATTGTAACGGCGTTAGTGCCAAAGTGGGGGTTTCCGGAACACCGATTTTAGCTTCAGGCGGAGGAGAAAGGGAGGAGGAAGAAGCAGATCGGTCAACGATGCCGCCGTTGCCAGCCTGGTTCAAGGGTTTTCGTGATGAAACGCTTAGGGACTGTTCAATCCCTGGAATAGATGACTGGGATTGACTCTTTGGGGAAGATATGCTCTCAGCCGTGTCATCATCATCACGAAAGGGGTATTCCGGTTTCTGGGAGGCATTTACGGTCTCATACATGTCCTCAACGACACTTCGCATCTCTTCCACGACCAGCGGAACTTTGTACGACCCGAAAAATACGCCAGACTTGCCCTCTTCATGACTGCGGATGCGCCTTTTACTGCGAATGGTTTGAATGGCAGCATTTATGAGGTAAAGAATTGATGCAATTGGCACGAATATACATAAAAACACGTAGAGGGGTAGTCCAGTGAGGAAGGACATGCTCCGCGCAATCATCCATCTACGGAATGGCGCAGACTCTTTCTGGCTTTTGACAGTGATATATCGATGCGGATTCACAATAACAGGCGAGTAATCCTGCAAGTAGTTTATCTGGTATTTGTCCAGTTCCATAAAGGGGTCTGTTTTCGATATTCCCGTTGTATAGAACACAGCGGCCTTATCATTGACGATGTTCGCGTAAAGACTTCGGTGTTTGAACTTTGCCAGACCCAGCATGAATATACTGCCTGGGGTCGCAAGAACGCTGAGCAGCGGTTTGCCAGTGTCCCGGAACGAATCGATCATGAAGAGCTGCCGGCCAGACGCCGAGATTGTCCTGGCTCCAAGCACGTTCCAAAAGTGGTTTTTTCTTGCTGGGCTTCTTACTCCCACATGGGGAGTTGCAAAGGTTGTAAAATTGACAGGTTGGATCTTATCGAAGTATCCCTTGGCATACAGAAGTCCAATCGCATATCGAGCTACCAAACCGCCCAAAGAGTAGCCAACAATGCTCAGTTTCTGGATATCGTAGTCTTGGTCATATAAAGTTTCCAAGGCCTCTTCGATCTCGTGGGCTACACGCTCCCCACCCAGCTCAATACCATCGTAGGTGAGTGATCCAGTGTTGCGCTTCACAGCCAGGATGTAAAGTTTGTCTGCATGTTTCTCTCGTAAGGCACCCGCGATATAGTCGAGGTGGGAAGGATTACCATGTAGCCTAAACAATCAGTGGTCAACTCATCAGTTCCAAGGCAGTTTTGTTAAAATTAGCAAAGGGTTTAAAACAATCAGGTAGCGGTTCGTACTGTGAGCTCCGTTGGTAAATAAATGGCGGCAAACTTACCCGTGAACTAGGACGCAAATATGATTTGCATGCTTCTTGCCGGCGGGAGGGTAAGCTCGAACTTCTGCGTCTTCTTTCATGGTGCTGGAATCAAATTAGCCACCAGAACGTGGGGAGTTCAACCGCAAAGAGGAGGGAAAGTTGGAGGTCGACATGGGACGTGGGGTGTTTGTCTCTCTTGTGCCGTTACTACTACCCTATCGCGGTATCGCGTTGCCTTGTAATTCCGCCGCTTGTTTGCCGAGCGCTTAGTTAAGTTACCAGCAAGAGCTCACTTGGCGCCAAACCTTCCACCTCACCTCAACACCGTGCTCAAGGCCCTTGACCTGACGACTTTGCTTCGAACGGCTCTTCTCACCTCTTACTACTAGCCAGCGAACTGCAGGTACAGGCAGTGCGTGTGTATGGATGCCCACAACCTTGCCACTTCAGGAAGCCAATAACTCAGCTGGGCATGAACTCCGTAACGAGCGCAAAGGACGAGATGTCAACCGGATCTTTAATCCTTTTATATTGACGGCCCCGTGCAAGTTTCCCCGCTGGCAAGAGTCCTTACATTATACACTATTTATTCGAAGGAAAATCACTAGGCATCTCAGCTTCATCGCATCTTATGCTGGCGACGTGGCGGCACTGATTGGAGCTTCATCTTGAGCTTCGATATCGGTCACATCGTCACCATTTTATTATTTAACACGTCGACAACCGCCAGTTCTAGCATTTTGCCCGGCCATTTCATGAACTAGGCCGAGTTGCTGGATCGCCAAGAACGCGCGCCAACCGGGCAACCGCAGCTTTTGTCTCATTGCTGCATACCAGCCTCGAAGTATCTATCGAGAACAAAATAATAGCCTTTGGTCTAGATTACTGTGACGGCTTTATTGATGATCCCTTCGGCTGGTTTCAACTACTGCTCAAACAATGCCATAGTTGGGAGGTAAAGAAACACAACGTCTAACTTCAGAAGTGGGATATTTTATCCGTCTTTTTTGTAGGCGGAAAGCTTTCCAGCAAAGCTGAGAGTTTTGATCTGAGATTCTAGCTGTAAAAGCAGTACAGGGAAAGACAAAACATGATGTTTAATCATCTGGGTCTTTTTAAAAATGTCCTTTGTCCCGAGGGCGACCGTTGTGGGCTTTTAAACTGCATTTTTAGTCATACAAACAAAGAATGCATCCCTAGATCCGTCGTTCCTCCACCTCTTTCAACTCCCGTATCCGATGCCGTTTCTCCTGCTGCTTCTATGGACGATGAACCTCTTCGGAAAAGAAGACGAATTGAGGGCGCCCCCGAGACTAGAATTCCCAATGGCAAGGAGCAGGAACAAATATCTAAAAGTAGAGGAAACGGAGTCGTAAAAGAATTGCACGAGAACCCAAATCGTCCTTCTCATGGAAATTCTCGGAATTTGATATCTGTCACCAGAACTGTTTCTCCTCCTACTGTTTCTCGTCGGGTCACTGCGAGCACTGCGGGAAGGCTGCCTAGATCGACGCCTTCTAATACAGCAAAACAAAATGGAGACACCCATCCCCAAAGACAAATAAAGAAGGAACCACTAAACCCGAGGCACATTGCTAGACCTCCAGCATCACACACAGTTCGTATGTCAATCCTAACCAAGCTTCACGATGCGATGGTCCAGCTCAATCAGGAGGTTATCAAAAAAAATGATTCGTCCAAGCAGGCTCTTATTCTCTCTGCTGATGAGCTCGTGGCGATGGCCCTTGATGAAGAGGAGGAAGCCGCAAAGGAGCATTCTTCGGTATACGCCAATGTGATAAAACTCCGCATTGCGAAGCTTAGAAAGATGGCCAGAGACGAGTGGGAAAATAACGTGTCAACGTATATTGTCGCTAAATTCGGTCTGCCAGCAGGGAATAAAAAGTCAGAAGAGCCGGATGGGGAAATATCAACAGGATTAAACAACGAAGAAGAAATATCTCTCCTTTCGAAACTCCATGCGTCCCGAGAACATTTAGACAAAGCTGGATATGTCACCGCCGCTCCTACGAATGACGAGATCGAAGTGGCAAAGCGCGGCGCTGAGGCGGCTCAAGGATGGGAGCAATGCGAGCGCTGCAATGGCAGGTTCCAAGTCTTCCCAGGTCGAAGGGAGGATGGGCTTTTAGCCACGGGAGGGCCCTGCACCTACCATCACTCGAGGCCACTTCGACCACTAAAGAAAAAAACAGACCAAATCACTGGTCACAAGGAATCTTACTATCCATGTTGCAACGAAACAATCGGGACATCTTCTGGTTGTACGAAAGCTAAATGGCATGTCTTCAAAGTGTCGGAAGTTAAACGGTTAGCTGCAGTGCTGCAGTTCAAAGAAACACCCAGACAGTCCAATAAACCCACATTACCTCCAGTCTGTTTCGACTGCGAGATGGGCTATACCACCCTAGGCCTTGAACTCATCCGTCTCACAGCCATCTCATGGCCAGAAGGGAAGACCCTCCTGGACATTTTAGTAAAACCAATCGGGGAAATCCTCGACCTAAACTCCCGCTATTCTGGTGTCCGCCCGGAACACTTCATCAATGCCAGCCCACATGATGCCTCCTCCTCGACCGCTTCGCCCACTGTGGCTACAAGTCCTACTATACAACCAGATTCACAGCAAACGCCACAACCATCCTCTGACGAAAATAACGCCTCCCAATCACAGGCCCTCCGCGTCGTCGACTCCCCTAGCACCGCCCGCGACCTCCTCTTCCAACTACTCCAACCGGAAACTCCTCTAATCGGCCACGCACTCGAAAACGACCTCAACGCATGCCGCATCATCCACCCAACAATCGTCGACACCGCGCTCCTCTACCCGCACCCAGGCGGCCTGCCATACCGCTTTGGCCTACGGGCGCTCACCCGCAAATTCCTGAATCGACATATACAGGCAGGTGGCGGCGAGGTGGGGCATGACTCCCTGGAAGATGCGAAGGCGACGGGAGATTTGGTTAGGCTTAAGATTCGGGAGACGTGGAGGGCGTTGCAGAGGGTTGGCTATTCTTTTGAGAAGGGAAGGTTGGTGGCTCCTCTGGGGGGAGGGGTGAAGGATGGCGTTGCGACGGGCCAGGAGAAAGGATCTGGTATATTGAGTGGTGGTGGTGGTGGTAGTGGTGTTTTGGGTCGTGGGGCGGGGACGAAAAGGAAAGAAGGCGAGGAAGGGGTGGCTATCCCTGGAAATCAGATGTAAAATCTCTTCCTCCCGCCCTTTTTTTCTACAACATTTTCAACAATAGATAGATGGCCTGAGATTTATATTTCTAGTCTGGTTTCGGCTGAATTTTGCCATTGTTTTTAAATCGACATGCCATCTTTCTCGTCTCTCCCTCCTAGATTTACAACTTCAACATCTGTTTACCTTTTATTACTAAAAACCCTTATTCCTGTGCGAGACAGAACACCCATCCGCACATGGTATCGGGCTTGGTGCGTTGTACGCACCACGACTCCACCTTCCAACACGCTGGATGCGAGATTGACCTCACTACGATCAATTTACAGAAGTACGCACAGTATTAAATGGAGAGCGGAACACATTCGGAAATGTTCTATGAAACCATAGCGCGGGGAATATAGTTTTTATGATTTCCTGAAAATCTCACGGAGAATCCCTATCATCATCGATCATCTAACTGAGGGGATAAAGCTAATGAAAAAAAAAATGATGTAGAGAATCATCGTAGACGTTCATTCATTCCATCAAAATAAAATAAAATAATCCCTGCGTTAAATCACATCCTTTCCTTTTTCAAATTTTAGGTCCCTCAAATCTAATCCTCATCCTCATCCGCCTCGTCGCCGACAACGTTGTAGAACCGGAGCTCATAGACACCCTTGGCAGTGGAGACGACGCGCAGCCAGTCGCGGAGCTGCTGCTTCTTGAGGAATTTCTTCGTCCTATGCGATGGAAAAAATATAATCGTTAGGATCCATAGGCTAGGACAACCTTTCCTTTGCGCTTTAACCACGCAAACACCAAAAACAAGGAGAATGGAATTGGTGACAAAATATTGTGACAGAGAGGGAGTGAGGGAAAAACATACAGGTACTTCAGATAGCGTCCGGAGAAAGGAATGTGCGCGACGACCTCGATCTTTCCATCGCCAGTCTGGGAGATCTGGACGGAGTCGCCGAGGTTGCCGACGCGGCCCTCAACCTTGACGCGGTCGTGGAGGAACTTCTCGAAGGCGGAGACGTCGAAGATCTTGTCATTGGCTGGTTGGGAGCAGTTGATGATGTACTGTTTTTCGTTAACAATTAGAGGATTATGGTGGCATTGAGGGAGAAAAAGCGAGGAGGATATGTAGTACCTTCTTCGTCACCTTTTGAGGCTTGCGGGCCTATTTTGTATTTCCAACATTGACGGAGCGCGGGGAGGTTAGCCTACTGTTCCTGACATGATATTCTTCTTGGAATAATAATGGAGATAGGAATATATATGTATATTTTTCTAAATCCCTTGATATCCGGTTGCCTGCTCTCCGTCCTCCCCTCCCTGTTTACTTCCTTCCATCTTTATATCAGTCCATCATTCTACCCGTCACCTATTCTTTATGAAAGGAGGGAGATATAAGACCTGATAGGAGAGGAGAGGACAGAAAGAGGAGCGGAAGGAGGACGGAGTGCAAAGTCACGGCGATCAAGGGGGAACAGCAAAGCGGTTTGAGGTCGCGAGGAAACGTACAGATTGGGGAGCCATTTTGAATTAGCGGAGGGTGAGAAGAGGATGAGGGTAAATGTAGCCGCAAAGAGGTCGATATCCTGCGGGATTGGTGTTGTTGTCGGAGCTGGAGCTGGAGCTGGCTTTATCTTTTTTTTATTTTATTTTTTTCTGTCCGAGGCGGAGGTTGAGATCGCGCGGGCTGGGAAAGAGCCGCTGTGGGATCGGAACTCTTGGCGTTAGGGCTAGGGTTTGGACGTCATGTGATATGGCTCTATTCCAAACCATCGTTTTTACTGTTGTTTTGATATGTAGTCATAACTATTTCGACTCTTTGACATCCCATAAGCCTTTCCTACCATGACTATCGGGGTATATTTGCGGGATGTATGTGGATTGATTGGTGAATTCAAATCTTCTAACTGACAGCATGCAAAAGACGTGAGAATTTTATAGACAATGGATTGGGAGCCAAAGGTGCCTACCAAGGAGTAAGTCGATGGACATGGTTGAGTTGATATTAAGGGCTGTAACATCCTTACTTATAGCAGCATTATTCGGGTCAGTTACTCGAGCTTTTGGTTTCCCACCTACATACTACAACTACATGCTACGAATCGATATATGGCCTCCGTTTAATCTTCAATACCTGAGGCTTCTATCAACGGAATGAGACCAAATTCAGTGCGCACTAACAGAATCCTTCGTCCTGAGGGGTTCGATCGTTCTAGCCCGAAGATGATGCGCCAGTCATCTGTATTATTTAACCGGCGGTGTAGTTTCGGACAGCCAGCCAAAACAGAGAAAAGGCGGGGGAGCTTCTCATGATGACAGAAGAGAAATGAACAAACAATTTGGCCAGCAGATGAATCTAGAACTATGTAGTTTCGTATCTGTGAGGGAGATAGTTCGGAGTTTGCGAAGGATGGGACTCTCTTAATCAGCGGTAACCTATGTATGAAGTAAAGAAGTTACCGCCAAAAAGAAGAAAAGAAAAAAAAAAAAATAAAAAAAAAAAAACCTCATGTAGTTCCGGGTGCGGACTGATTCCTCATCTGTTCTTTCGATATATGTACATACATGTACATGTACATTTACATATACATACGTTCGATGATTAGCGGGATTCTATCCATGACATAATTTCTCGTTGAAGACAGGTTTCGATTGGAAAAGGAGTGATGGCGAGAATTACCCGGGGGTACTCCCTGTAACTAGTTATCCATTAGCCCGGGGAGCAAGCGGAAGCGGAAGTGAAAGAGCGCGTGGTTCGTCTGGAACTCTTGGAAGCTTCAGTTGCTGCCGAGTGTGTCTACACTCACCTGCCACGGACTCCGTTAGTTAGGAAATCTCGTCAAGAAGGATTGCGCGTTCAAGAGAAGTTATTTAAGCAGCAAGTGGGGAATTGAGGGCAATCCTACCGCTTCTGAGGAATGATATGCGTTGGATAGATGAATGAATTATAACTATAGTTAAGTTACATACATAAATTTATTTTTGATACAGATCGGATACTCCGTAGTCAGTCGGAAGCTGAGCCGAGGCCCTGCTGGTTTGAGCAGCAGCGATCGTTCGTTGTTGCCACCAGCTCCTTCCCATTCCGTCAACAACACAACAACAGAAACGGAAGACACGGAAACATAAAAGAACTCATTCATTCATTCATTCATTCATTCATTCATTCATATATATCCCATAATATATTCCATATACATGTCTATACATCTATACTCCTTCTTCAGCAGACAACACAACGCGGTGCTCAGACTCAACAATCAGACAGTAGCCAGCTATTCCCGTGCTCAAACACCTCGACATTTCCTCCGCAGGCTCCACCATCCACCAGCCACCAGCGTCATCGTCGCCATGTCTTCCGCTACGTCCTTCTATGACTTCGAGGCTGCCGACAGTACGTTATTTAACCCCATTCAACCCCCATTTTAGAAACAAAGAAAGAAAAAGCAATATATAAGAAAAAAGCACATGATCTAACACCCCGTAAACCACAATAGAAAAAGGCGACCCCTTCCCCCTCTCCAGCCTGAAAGGCAAGGTCGTCCTCGTCGTCAACACCGCCTCCAAATGCGGCTTCACCCCTCAACTCAAGGGCCTCGAATCCCTCTACACCTCCATCAACAGCGCGCACCCAGACAAGTTCACCATCCTCGGTTTCCCCTGCAACCAATTCGGCTCGCAGGACCCAGGCTCTAATGACGAGATCCAAACCTTCTGCTCCGTCAACTACGGCGTCACCTTCCCCGTCCTGGGCAAAGTCGAGGTGAATGGCGACAACGCCGCGCCGTTGTGGAAATGGCTTAAGGCCGAGATGCCCGGCCTAATGGGCATGAAACGCGTGAAGTGGAACTTTGAGAAGTTCTTGATTGGCGCCGATGGGAAGGTTGTGCAGCGCTGGGCCAGTCTAACGAAGCCGGAATCATTGAAGGGCGCTATCGAAAAGGAGATTGAGAAGATGGAAAAGATAAATGTGAAGGCGGCGACTGAGCCTGCGCCCGAGATTCCCACGGATCCAGTGACTCAATCGTGATTTGTTATTCTGGGTCGGTTTGGAAGTGGGGTGGCGAGATGATACGATAGTGGATGGCGTTTGTCTCTCTATTAGTCCCTTTTCTCTGTTCCGCTTTTTTTCCCCTCTGGTGGATTCTTGTTTTGTCTTGGTTTATGTTTATGCATATATTTACCGCATTGTTTGCACTGGTTTTTCGTGATGGGCGGGTGCCATTAATCTGCTATTCTTACACCCCGTCCCGGATCCAATGCTCTAACTCGATCCCCTACGTTCTCGTACACGATCAAATTGTTATCAGAGATTCCCCCCTGGTCACGCTTAGTTTAGTTGCTGTTGTGTTTACTTTTTGTTCCCTTGCTGGGATAGCTTTTCTTCCCACTTTTAATGTCCTCTTTTGTGTTTCAGTTTACGCTGTGTATTCTCTCTCTCTCTGCTCCATCCTCAGCTGTTATTATGATACCAAACAAGGAAAAACCGAGAGCCTTTTGTATACTTATGGAAAAGAAAAAAAATAGATACAAGTAAAACGAAATTGTATTTCAGTTTATCTAAACTTGAGTGGTATGTTTGCGCTCTTTTTTGGTTTGCTTTCGGGCAGACGCTTAGAGCGTAGCTTTGAATGGGAGAATTATTTTATAAAATTCCTTAAACAGAAGAGGGGAAGAGAGGATAGGAGTTTCAACGACTTCAGCCATTCATTCATTCATTCATTCACGCATTTACTTCGGGTATAGAATGAATTTTATTTCGACCCAGGCGGGAGATCAATTTTCCCAGCCTGCACGCATGATATTGATGGTTTTAGTGACTACCCTTCTCATCCATGTGAAATGCTTAACATATAAAATATACATACATTATATCCCTTTCGATTTCATCCACTCATGACATGGGGTTGCACATCCATCCATTCAAATCATTTATCCACTCATCTGTTCATCCCGCGCGGCAGCAGCGGGTTTCGGTTTCGGCACCAAGTTTCGCAGGGAGAGGTCATACACGACATCCTCGACTTTCTTCACCTGTTCGTCATATATATGTGGGAAAAGCCATTTTGCATGGTTAGATATGTAGATATGTATATGTATATATATATATATATATATATTTGCATCTGGGGTAGAGCATGCCTCTTGAGGGATGCAAAATAGGCGTAAGATATAACGAGCGGGGAGCATGACATACGCTATATTTAATCCCATCACTCCGCTTGCGCAGGCTGTCGTTCTTCAGGTTCAGCAGCTGGAATCCCGCGTGCAGGTCTGAGACGAATTTGTTGATCTGCAGCGGCCGCGAGTAGTCGCCTAGTGTCACGGAGTTGACGGCTAGTCGGCTCTGTGGGAAGTGGGTTAGCAGATAGTAAACGAGCTCAGGATATGAGGGATGGTTGGGGGAGAAGGGGGGGAGGTACAAGCTCCTCCACCAGCGATATCAGCGCCTGCAGATACTCTTCGATGGAGAGGTGGAAGGAATCTTGGTCCTTGAGGTTGACGGGGACTATATATTATAAGGTTAATCGAGGATATATTGATTGATATATATCGTGCGTAAGACTTTCGAGGTCAGGGTATAATTATAAATGTAAAAATGAAATTTAAGTGAAAAAACATACCACCCAAAAACTCCCCAACCTCCTCAATTGTCATGAAGCCCTTGGCTTTCTCATCCCGCGCATCGCGCAGGCCGCCTAGCCATGCGCAGAATTGGATGGTGAAGACCTACACGGGGCCCCCTCGGAGGATGTTTACAGGTTAGACAGAGAGAGATCGACACACAAGGGTACGGCATGGAACAGATGAAAGAGGTACGTGTACATGTATATGTACATACCAGATTCTGCAACTCCCGGCTCCAGATATGGTTGTATTTGTAGAAGGGGTGTTGGGACGCCACGGAGACGAGGCGGGTGACGTCTTCCTTTTGCGCGCGTATCTCCTTGGCGGCTTCGTCGAGGACCGGGGTTACTGTTGATTGTATATATGAGGAGATGGTGAGGTTTTTTGGTACAGCATAAGAAGCTTTGGTTTTTCTGGGGGTATCTGATGTATCACGGCTACATGGAGATGCAGATAGAGGTACAGCGTACAGCAAACGGAAACACACACACAGAGAGAGAGAGAAACAAAAATGAAAAGAGGCAAAAAGCTTGATTCGAAACCAGGAAAATGGAGAGGTAACGACAGTTTTTTTTATATAATCGTAGAGGCAGCACAAAGGAAAGCATATATAAAAAGGGTATGTCATATATCCCTTAATTAGAACAAGAAAGGGGAAAGAAAGAGGGAAAAACGCACATTGATCAGCTGGAGTCGAATGAGCCCGCGACAAAATGGCTAACGTAGAACGGCCTATATCATAGTTTGCGACCAGACGAGACGCTCTGGGTCAGCACGACAGATATATTATATTGTATTGAAGTATGCGGCCAGCGGGGTAGTGTTTTTCATTCAAGCCTACCCGCCGCCCACCGAGCATATTTAGAAAGCTCTCACTCATGTGTACGAGAGGGGCAAAGGACAAGAGACCAACCGCGTTTCGACAGCGTCTGGACAATATCTTGGAGTTCCTGGAGATAACCGTATAAGTAAAACCAGCCATGGTATGGTATGGCCATGTTAATTCGATTAGAGGCGGCTTACATCGCGAATCCGGCTCTCCTCATCTATCTTGGTCTGCAAGGTTTCGAAGATGGAGGGGTCAATCATGGTGGCGATACTTCTCGCAATAGAGAAGTAGAGGGGCAAAAATGAGTACGTTCTAGGTTTTGTATAAATTTTGTGAAGGGGAATATGTGGGAGATGTGAAGAGGATTGATTGATATATCAAACGGTTTGTTACCGAGACCAGACGTTGAGCTTATTTCCGCATTGGGAGTGAGTGCTAATACAACTTTTCACACAACTCAAAAAGCTAATCGATAGCAACCAATATCCGCCACCACAACATTTTCCAGCTTTCAGACAAGAGACTTAAAACCAGGCCCAAAACAAGTGATTTTTAGTTGTTATAATAAAGAAAAAATTATCATTTTCTTCTCCAACCCATCGGTCAAGCCGACAGAAGCTGATGAAAAAAAAGGATGGTATTTCGCATCACTCGGTGGTAGTGTAAGACCGAGGACACGGTGCGAACAGCCATGCGCAAGCACAGAGGGCCGAAGGCGGGATCCAAAAATGAGATTAATCAATGTTGTATTCCTTAGAATACTTTCAGAGATTAAACTGAAAAGAACAGATACTACACTTGATCTTAGCCTTACGGCAAAGAGAGCTGGAGAAAGAAAGGAAAAGAAAAAAGACTAAAAGAGAAGAGAGGGCATGGAGCAGTATTTATAGGCTTGCGGCGGGGAGCGCGGATGGCGCTAGTCATAGCCGAGATTTGGCGAAGAGCGTTGATTGGCTGGTCTGGCATCAGTCAGCAGATTTGCCACGTGATTCGTGTGCAAACCGGACAAACGCTACAAACAAGGTAAATGTGGCAAACGTGGCAAATATTGCTGCTACGAGTTCCATTGTTATATCAATGTAATAATAATATGAAGGAGGTCTTGCACAGTGCAAGAGTAGGTCACAGCCTCACAGGTATATTTAAAGCTTAAAGAGCCAGAGTAAATTATCGTAGCAGTCTCTGCACGGGTATTTATTTTGGGAGGATATAAATGTACGACAACAAAAACCCCATCACCATCTTGATCATACACCCAGTATTTTGCCGTATATCGTCTCTCCATATCCCAAGGAACCTCACCTCGTCATAAAAATTACCCAAGTAGCTATTATGCAGCTCCCAATTCCCCCTTCAAAACATCCACGTCCAGCTCCTCCATCACCCCCAGCACAACCCCTAAGCTCTCCATGAACCCATTCACCGCCACCCGCAGCATCCGATTCGTCGTCGCTCGATACTCTGTCTGCAGCACTGTTCGTTCTTCCTCGTCTCCTCTAGCTTCCCTCAGCCCTTTTTCGTCTTCGCGGGTGGCTGGTGTCTGTGTCGAGATGGGCTGTGGCTCGGTAAGAGCGGTAGTAGCAGCACTATTGGTCGTGGGAGGTGAAGAGGGAAGTATTTGCGAATCCGATTGTACTTGCGCCTCTGCCCGGCTTTGCAATTGTGGTGGCTGCGGCCTCGTGAGCCGGAATGTGCGGCGGACGAGCGGGGAGAGTTCGGCATCGACTTGTAAAGTGCGGAGGGCCGCGGAGGCAAGGCGGTGGGTGGGGAGGGGGAGGGAGATTGTTCTGTAGTTTTGTATAGGATTTGTTAGCGGGTGGCACGTAAGGTGGTGTCCCGTGAGGGAACGGGTGCACGTGCACTTCGTACAGGGAGTAAGGGAATTCGGAGTCGAGGGTCGTCATGGCGGGGAGGTTTGATAGATAAGCGGGGATATTGGCTAAGATATGATCTGGCTGCTATTTCCTTTATTTATCGAATTAAGGAGGTTGCTTTATTGGTTTCTATATTCGAAAGCTTTGATCCATTCTTTGAGGTCTTGGGGGAGTGCTGTTTGCGCCGGCTAAGAAGTGTGGTGGTGGCGTTGTGAGTAGGATCGAGTGGGTGGAGGGAAGAACTTGGCGTACGTAAATAAAATATTAAGCTAAATATCTGTGCAGTGAATTTCTCCAATTTGTTTTTCTGTTGTATTATAAAGAAGAGTTTGTGCTGAGCTGCTGGATGCAGTGGTGGTCGATGACAGACTGATAGTTGATGAACCTCTTATGGGTGGGGGGGTAAATATACCAAGCTTTTCCACTGCCGCTTCCAGACGCTTGCGGTGGGCGAGAAATAGACTTTCGCGGGCATTCTGGTTTTTTTTTATCCGTTAATTTTTGATACTGCAATTTTCTCCCTTAGGATGATAACAATGTAAGTAGTTAGATACAGTATTGAAATGAAGAGTTTCTAAGAAGTATTCCGTCTGTAATGATACTACTCAGACATTTCTGTGCAAGCGGGGAAAAAATACATATATATAACTATTGATTTTGGAGCCTCACGGGGTTTGGGATGCTGCCCACATTGCAAGAGATCACCTCCTTACCTGTCTATTATCAGCTGGCATCAAGGCGAACCTTGGAAGCACATGCATGGCCAAAATAGGATCATGAGCATCAACAATTCTGCATTATTCAGTGTATCTTTAAGCCGTTGTTTTGCGGCCAAAAATGCACCGTAGGCAAAAGCCAGATGTTACGCTGTATTCTCTGGGCATCAGTCAGTCAATGATATTCGCTGATACTGCTCACTCATGTCAAGAGCCCCTCTCGATTCCAAAGCTGTAAGACATTAAGACCATGCATTGAGGAGATGCGGGACGAGAGAGAGATTGGCTCTGAATAGCAAACTCGCCAGGTATTACAAGGACTCAACGCTGAGCCGCAACGAACGTGCATCGCCCTTGAAGAAATTGTTGTATCAGGTTGTACAGTACAATGTCCCATGTAGGCTGTATTACTCAGCTCGGCGTCGTGCTCGAAGTCTTTCTGACGTCTGTCAACCCGCAAGCGCACTTCCTACGCTGTATATGCAAACTGACTGACGTGTGCTCTAGCAACCCCGGCTAAGCCTTATGGAGTCAAGGTTGCCAGTCCATTCAGATTGTAAGTTGACCATGGTAACGGCCAGCTAAAAATTCTATTAATATTATGATTATGATTATGATTGTTATTGTTTTGAGTCTGCGAACTGTCCTGTCCCTGTGGTAATAAGAAATTAAAAAGGGCTTGTGGTGTGTGTTTGCTTTGTTTTGCTTTTGCCGCGCCGGACCTGGAACCTGTGACAAATCCGCACTAGTTCCGATTAGGTATCGTTGCCCTGCCAACGCGCGGGCGCCAAACCCGATCGGGCGCCCACCACAACAACATGGCAGCAAGCGCCGCCTTTATTATTATATTATTATTATGATCGGTGCTGGACCATCGCAGACCAGACGGACAACCGTTTTCTCTGACTTCAACCACCTGCACCACGACGCTCGAACAACTTCTCTGCCTTGTCTCTCGTCTCTCCCCATCTCTATGCTCCAGGACTGCTCTCCTGTCCTCCCTCCCTCCTCGTCTCTATCACGGCTTTATCATACCTCGTGGAAGCATTGTTAGCCCTGTCCCCGTCAACCTAAACATATCTCCTCTCTTATCACTGCCAAAATAAAAAAAGGAAAAAGAAAAAGAAAAAGAAAAAGAACCCATTGAGGATCATGCCCCTCTGACACACGAGTGCTCATCCTATTCTTCCCTTCTCCCCTTTTTGCCACGAGCTGTATATTCTTTCTCCGTTGTCATTCTCTTGCTCAATTGTATCATTTTTTGCGACTCTGAAGCCGTGGACATACGAGCACCATTTTTAATTCAAGAAAACAACCTTTGTCTTCCCCCAAGCCTCCCAATCGGCTCCTAAGATGCCTTGTATGACGGGATCCTATGGTCAGGTGATTGAGTATATCCAAGGTACGCTCCGTGTTTTTCTCGACACCCAAAAAATAAAAAAATAAAAAAAATAAAACAAATAATAAGGCATGCCATACTAACTTCAATTTGTAGACCGGCTGTATCTCGCATCCTATACCCGCCAACCAAGCGAATACGCCCCTTTCCCGTACCCTAAGCAACCAAAGTCTCCAAGCAAGAGGTCTTCTAGGGTTCATGGAGGATCTTCCGTCTCCGGCCCCAAGAACCCCCCCGTATATTTCACGGTTGATGACAAGCTTCTTTACAACGCCTTTCATGCCGATTTTGGCCCGCTGCACATCGGTCACCTGTACCGTTTTGCTGTCTACTTCCATGAGATATTAGGTGACCCCGCAAATAACGATCGGCCAGTGGTCTTCTGGAGCAAGCCTGATTCTAGGAGCCGCGCCAATGCCGCTTGCTTAGTTGCATGCTATATGGTCCTGATCCAATCCTGGCCGCCTCATTTGGCTCTGGCACCCATTGCACAGGCAGACCCCCCGTATATGCCTTTTAGAGACGCGGGATATAGTCAGGCAGATTTTGGCTTGACAATTCAGGATGTGGTGTATGGGGTGTGGAAGGCGAAGGAGGAAGGGCTTTGCGGGCTGAAGGATTTTAGTCTGGAAGAGTGAGTCTCTCTGCCTTTGGCTGATGTTGTCCTTGTTGTATCCTCCGGTCTAATTGGCGTGGTTTTGGTTTTAGGTATGAAAAATTCGAGCGGGTGGACATGGGAGACTTCAACTGGATTACTCCAGACTTCCTCGCATTTGCATCCCCACAACATCAGCCGATTGCCCCAATCCCGCAAAACACACCGGAATTTGCGGCCTTGCCTTCAACCATAACCGAAGTGCTTGTTTCTGATCTACCCGAACCTTTCAAGAATGTCCTCTCTCACTTTTCGTCTCGGAATATCGGTCTGGTCGTTAGATTAAATTCAGAGCTATATAGCCCGTCGAATTTCACCGCGATGGGGATTAGCCATATTGATATGATTTTTGAGGATGGGACTTGTCCGCCCCTCACTCTGGTCCGACGGTTCATCAAGATCGCTCATGACATGATCCATAAGAAAAAAGGAATAGCGGTGCATTGTAAGGCGGGGTTGGGTCGCACAGGCTGTCTGATTGGGGCATATCTGATTTATCGCCATGGTTTCACAGCCAATGAGGTTATTGCTTTCATGCGGTTCATGAGACCAGGAATGGTCGTCGGACCTCAACAACATTGGCTTCACCTGAACCAAGGCAGTTTCCGGGAATGGTGGTTTGAGGACTGCTTCAAGGAGAAACTAGCCCTGGCAAACCCAACAACACCCGGCAGGGCTTCACAAAAACAACAGCGCATAGTAAGCAGCAATGGGCAAACAGCCACCCCACCCAATCCTAGCCACCCAAAACGACATGCTCTGGGTGAGATTGATAACAATGAAGCGTCTGGCTACGCTGATGATACCCTTCCTGCTCCCACGCCGGGACAACCACGCAAATCACACCGGAAAGAAAGGCACCACCCTTATGCACGTGCTGTATCTACAGGATTAGGAAACGAGGCGGGAGTGGAGGCAAGTGCTTCAAAGAATGGACCAAAGAGGGAGGGTAGCCTCCGTAAATTGGTGGAACATAATAGTAATAGCGAGAGCGAGGAGGAACTTCAACTGCAGATGCTTGCCAGACGGGCCTCGTCGCGAACACCGGTATCACCATCCCAGCAGCGGTCAACGAGCCATTCCGCTACTGTGAGTCTGAGTATCCATGAAGACGTGGAGAACTATGCGGACGGCGCGGTTGTCTCGAGCCAGCCGAAGAGCTCGCCTGTTGCTAAGAGTGGGAGCGGGATATTGGGCGTAGGCAAGGTTCGCGGCAGCCCGCGGCGGGGACTAGATGGCAAGACAGCGGATAAGGGGGTGCGAAAGCATAGTGGGCGGATTGGGAGCGCGGGGACAGCGACTAGGTTGAAATAATGATGTGGGATATGCATGTGCTGGGATATTATATACGCTTGCCTTTGGGATCACTCTATATTCGGACCTGCCCGTCGCTACATCGATGGCCACCCACCAACCAGCCAACTCTACTTCTAAACTTACCTGTCCGTTATTTGTACAGATCACAGCTTGCAATTCCCGTTTTTGAGCTCTTCTTTTTTTTTTTTTTTTTTTTTTTTTTTTTAACGGCTGCAACTAACTGAACTGCATTTGTGGCTTTGCTGGCAAGGCGTTGTTGTTTGGAGTTTTATGATTTTACCCCTTTTCCTGTTGTGTTGAATGTTGCCTGGGTTCGGTTGCTGTTGTTGCCTTGTTTATTAAACTTTTTTTTTTTTTTTTTTTTTTTTTTTTTTCATATATATAAATAACGAAGAGGATTCTTCATGGATTTGATTGATTGGTTGATTGATTGATGGATTTGTTTTTTAATAGTGATGATATTATTTTATGGCGATGATGATATATTAGTTGTTGTGGTTTCCGGTAGCCATGCTGTTGGGGGGGAGATACCGATGTTTGTTTGTTCGAATGGCTGAGGGGAACGGGTATTTGCTTGACGATAATGACTTAATTTCTCCTTGTGAAAGTTTTTCGTGATCTTTATTTTAGGTTATAATCGTCCTGTGTTAAAAACGTGAGACAAGCTAGCGAAGAAGAGTAGGAGAAAGGCTAGGTGTTTGAAGTGGTGGCGATTAATGTACACGTACTTGTACTTGTACTGTATGGGCTGATTGATGGTGGCTTCTTTCTACGGCTTCTGATTTTTCTGTCTTATTTTCCTCTCTCTCTTTTTTTCTCCTTCGTTTCTGAAAGCGTTGCTTGCTTATTCTTAGATATAAAGTTGACGCTTGGCGCTTAGTGGGGCGGGACAAGGCGGCTAGTAAAATGCCAAGACGGGAATCCCCACTTCGGCTGGCGCTTAATTTGTTTACCGAGAAGGTATTCGGGAAAGATCCATGGATGGATGCTCAAAGGTTTGAAGATATACATGACATGGAAAGGAAATGATTCCTCTATGGTGATGTTCTTGAAGCGGATGCATATTTTCCCCTGAAAACAGATTCTTTGCTTGATGGTACACGCTGTAAAAGATATTTTTCTATGAGTTTGATATCCAATCGACAAATCAGCAGTAGTCCCAGCCCAAAAATTCAAAAATTCAAACTCCACACTTGGAACCGCTCCATTCATTCCGGATATGTATGTGCCTGCGGCCGCATTCACCCATTCAAATCCATAGCCGTCTTCGCCCGCTTCCAATAATCCCTTCTCTGGTCGGTAACCTCCGTCCATACACATCTCGTCAAATATTTCTCCCACCCTTCCTGGGAACCAGACTGCAGCCCTTTCCGCACTTCCGGTGAGCATTGGTTGACCATAAACCATGCTGCAGACCCAAAGTCGTGGTCATCGCTTTTGAGGAGGAGGTTCAGGACTGCGTCCTTGTCGCCCTTGACCTTTGCTAGCTCATCCTTGATCTCGTCGAGGGATTCGGCGTATTTGGCGTTGTTCTCGGCAACTTGCATGTTTCGTGCTGGGTTTCTGACGTTAGCTGGCTATTTTCATGCTCCTCTCTTTACTTCCTTGATTGGCTACTATGCTTTGTCGCGGAGAATGGGATACACAAAAGGGGGAAGGTCGGATATGGAAAAATGAAGAGTAAAACATACTTCCCTGCCCCGCCGTCACGGGGAAATGACTTCTCCTATATGCAAACTCTGCCGTTTCATACGCCATCAAACTTAGCAGCGCTGCCTTCTCGGCTGCGGATTCGATCTTGTACCTCTTGAAGGAATTCAGAATAGGTCCCACCGCTTGCGCTGCGCTGCGACATTCACCCGCGGCATCCTTGAGGTCGACGCAAGGCTCCCGGGCGGACCTGGGTGCGATGATCTTTAGTATTTCGATCATCACATTTTTGTCGGCGCCGTTGTCGGTTTTGGGGGTGTCTGCTTGTTGGTCAGCTGGTGGGTCGTCGAAGCAGTCAGCATGGGCGGTTATGAGGTGGAGCGAGAGGAGGAGGGTGGTTGAGAGAAGATTTAGATGCATGATTGAGTAACTAGCGTTTGATTTGTTTTTGTTTTTCTTTCTTATCGTGTTTTCGTGGCAAGATTGTTGAGTTTCTTCTCAAATGTGTAACTGGCAGGACCTCATGTAAATGTGGAGTTTTTATGAAGTAGAGATTTATGGATATATGGCTAATGAAAATCTTTTCCCCTGATAGAACTTGGGGAAAGTGAAAGGCATTTATATATCCCTAGATGTGTTTTATATAAAGGGTGACGTGAAGCATGGCTGTCGTCGTCGACGCTCTTCTCTTGAAGTTGAACATGTTCTATCGAGCGGACAAAGCATTCACTGAAAGTCGCCATCTCTTGAGGAAATCCGCTGAATTTCCACGGAGAGGAGAGCTGCTGAATGATGTGAGTAACGAGTGTTTCAAACTGCCTATACCAGTCGCGAGTGATCGGTCTAAAACGATTCAACCCAGTGAAGCCATGCAAGGGATATTCCCTAGCTATCGTGTTGCTTGCTTATTTTCGAGTTTTGCCTTTCGGTAGCTGGCAATAAGGACTGTATGTTGTTCTTTGACCTTTTATCCCATGTCGCCTTTGTTTCGGAAATATTCTCTTTGCCATTAAGTCACTTGGTAGCTACAAGAGATCATACATCTTTCTTTCAGTTTCATGTTTAAAAAATAAAAGAGAACAGTATTGTTTTAACTGTACAGAACATACAACAGGTGAAAACATCAAAGCCATTGTTTAAAATTTCAGCTAGAAGAGCAGATTGAACTGAATTGATATCTTCTCTAACAACTTTTGACTATTCCCAAACTGCTAAACTGAGATCCTGGAGTGATGGTGTGTGGCATGATACCAGTACATGATTTTAACAAATGCTTCAAAAGACAGGATGTACCTTAGTTTCTTTTCTTTTCTTTTCTTTTCTTTTCTTTTCTTTTTTTTTTTTTTTTTGAAAACTTGATCCAGTTTTACCTTCAGCATCACTCACTCTCCTGTCCCTTTCCCTCCTGAGGCCTTCATCATCGAACGAGGAATGTTAAACATAATACGTGCAGGTAATAATTGCCCTCATCCGTCGCAGGCGCATTAGGCATGATATAAGTCGGCCAATTTCTTTGATCCATTAAGTTATTGCGAGGGGGGCCGCCGTTGCAACTGTGTCACAGCCACCACTCTTCCCTTGTTCGAGGGCGCACACAGTCGGAGTGCTTCAACATAATCGTATGTCAGGTTATTATTAGTCGAACTATTTGCCACGTCGTAGGATGATTAAGTAGTCCTAAAGAAGCGGTGGATGAAAGACGTAAAAATATTTTCTCCATTTGCCAAGGGTACGATATTCCGATTTTGGAGTAGTTCTTCAGGAACAACGACAATAATACCCCCGCCGGCGGGAAAACGCAATCGTACGGCTCTGTTTTTCTGTCGGTCAATAGCTCCGGTGTCATTGCTAGACTTTAACTCAAAAATGATGTCGTCTTTGTTATATTCATCATCATATAGTCTGATCTGCTGACCGACTTTCTCGGCGACTCTGGCTACCCAGCAAGCCTGGATGGCCTCTTTGGTGGGGAAAGTGACCACGATGCGCCGCCTAGAAAGCGCAACAGCTGTCACTGCGCCTGTAAAGAACTGTCGTATTTCCGCAAGTTCATCTAACTGTAGAATCCGTCCACAGTCGATGATGTTGAAGAACCACCCGTAGAAATCCAAATCCTTTGAGAGCCAAAGGAACCCATCTCTGACCGGGGAAAGGACCTTGATTTTCCTCCCTGCGGCTTCTGTACCATCGTAGCGACTAGCTTCAGCAGTATGAGGAATAATCCAAGTTGCGGTGCCCATTTTGTCGCATACAAAGACGACCTTGCTCTCTTTTAACGACGGGTGATGGCTTCTGATGAGTGGCTCGGTTTCTCTTACGGCTGAAGAAGCGTGCCGCGCATACGCACACATTCGTGGAGCGTCAATATCAGGCGACATAACTAAACATTTAGGTAACAATCAGCTAGTTATCTAGATACCCACTATTGCAGACGGAGCTACCGATATACATACATGGAATAGGCCGAACAACGGGAAGAAGCAGCCTTGCCTCTTCGCTTGCTGGACTGGAGTCCGGGTAATAGTCGCTGTTAGACAGGCTCATTTTTGCGGTATAATCGACGCTGTTAGACAGGCTCATTTTTGCGGTATAATCGAAAATTATGTTCAGGAATTTACGGTCTGGTGGGAGCTGTTCAGAAACCAAGGCGGACAAAAGGACATTTGAAGAGGATTCTCATTTGATATCCCCGAGATCAGGGAATAAGATGCCTATAAAACTGCTCGCAGTTGAGTTTAAAGCAAGGGTATTAACATTTGCCAGGGAAATTAACACTTTTGGGTCTATATCTATGAAATTTCCATCTTCCACGGTTGTGCTCCGTTTATGCTTCGCGCGCGGTTTAGCTGTTCGAAACCCTATATAGTATTGGTAGTGGTCTGGGGAGTAGGTGAAGACATGATAAACTTAAAACTATTAAGATTTGAGCTCATTTATCTTAGAACCATAGCGAGTATGCTTTGCGAAGTTTACATGAGCTTTGAGAAAAGTTGAGAATGACGTCACGGTAAATTGTGAGATCGGCTAAAAGTCAAGGTTTGCCGATTGCCGAGAGTCTAAAAGTTCTCTGCCGAATCCTAGCGACGGACCGAAAGATAGATGGATATTCTACATGACGATGAACAGAGTTTTACCGTTATCTTATTTCATTTTCACGTCCTATGAAAGACATGCAAAGATGGAAAACTCGTTCCCTGTTAGAATCATGGCCATGGCTGGCTAAGTACCAGAGAACAGGCTTTTGTTGCCAATCGGCTAAGACATGGGTATGGGAGGTTGTGAAGTTAGCGAAGGAACGTCTAATAATGCATGAGACTACATGCGATGTAAAATGATGAACATATTGTGGTGGCTTCGGTGACCCTTTTGCGACGAGAGAATATTCCGGGTAGTAACGCTCCTCCACCCTATGACAAGTTCGTATTCTTCTTCATTTTACTGCTGCCTGGAGGAGTTTAGCATGGCAGGACTCTTCTCCATTGGTAGAGGGAGGGGAAAGTATTCTTCTTCAAGCAATGCAAAAATGCTGGAGATACAAGACAAGTTGATAATTTAAGGATTATAATCGAATAAACAAGATAGACCTCCCAAAAATGCCGACATTAAACCGGGAATGGCTCGAGTTTGAACGCAGCCAGCTGTCAATTCAGGAAGAGAGGCAGTTGTTAGCAATTCTCCACCGTGAGAGCTAGAGATGAAGCAAATATTCCAATCAGGATATACGATAGCAATCGGCCCCGGAATAAGCTAGTAGTGGTAGTCTATCATGGTAGCGCTCTGGTGGGCTGTGCTCTTGCCCCTGTGTGGGATTATCTGATTTGCTTTTGTTTGAATGTGGTAACTAATAGTGAACAATGACCCTAGTATTGTGTAGGTGCATGGTAATTGAATGTTCCACGGGGGTAATTAGCGTTGCATATCGGCTTGCTCCGGAGAATCCGTATCGGACACCAATCCATGATGCATGGGATAGCTTTTTGAACATCACAGAAAATATCGCGACCATTGTATGTACATGTACATGTACCTTGTTTTGCGGGGCCTGCCAACTTCGTTATTGCTGGTACTTCGTCTGGGGGCATTTAGCTGCCATAGTGTCCCAGCTGGCTACGGCTCATATGAAAACACAAGAGACTCCAACCTGGACTGTATCTGGCGTTGTCCTTCGCAATCCAGTCACCGTCTATGGTGCGGATAAATGGTATACCACCTCAGTTTAGGGATATGCATCAATCATGGGCTCCAGAATTAGATTGCCCAGGACGTCTGTGTAGGGAGGACATGAAGAACGGCCATGGGAAGGAAATATCAATTCACCCCTCGCTGATCGTCCTATAGGATATACGTGGAGGCTAATTGCAGTGGCATTGCACACCCCAAGATCTCTTCGGTGTTCCGGAAAATGAACCCTCTCGCCTATCCGCTCTGGGGAAATCTTCCTAGCCTACCACAAACATTTGTCCAATTTTACGGTATCGATATTCTGAGAGACGATGCTCTTTGTTATGTAAAAGGATTGACAAACGCTGGAGTTGATGTCTAGTCTAAGTTTTAGGAAGTATATTAATATTACTACCTTGATTCTTGCAAATGGTATGCTAATTTAGGGTCAAGGACCTACCGCACGTCTTTTGGGTGTATGCGCCCCATTTGGAAGTATCCCACAAGATAGAACAAGACTGCGTTGATGGACTTAATTGGATAATCAGCGAATGGCAGTCCGAAATTCTGAAATGAGAACAGGTTGGTTGGAGTTCCAATGGATGGGCTTGAAGCCTAGATGAAGCTATGCTTTAATCAGCTACGCATTTGCTCTGGCAAGTGTTGAAGTGTGAAAGTCACCAATATCTTAGAAAAGTCAATATACTTGCGGATTAGTTGATTGTTTCTGTCATAGGTAGTGAATTATTGATATTTGAAGCAATATGCACAAGAATCGTCCTCCCATACATAACTTCAGAGATCATAATTATCATTTTTAGTCTAGTTCAACATTTCGAACCCGTCATCGACAAGACTCTGAAAACAGCAATCGTTGTTGACTAATTTAATCCATCTTCTCGCATTTTTGCTGGCGCACTGCCATTCAATTTGAAGTACCCCGGTTGCAGTCTCTCGAGAAACCCTTCAGGATCATCGTTGTACGAAGCCACCCTTAGCCGCTGGACATTCTCAGCTCCATAACTGGAAATCACATCCTGGAACTGGCTCGCATAGTTCATGAAGAGGTAATCAACATGTAAACCGGATTGCTTCGCTTCCTCCTTGATTGCCTGTAGCATGTCTGAGAAGGCCCGATAGATCATCTTGTCATCAGCTTCATCGGACCACGTTGCGGAAAGGAGGAGCAGGGTATATGGTCCGCCTTCAGATGATAGACCAAATACTTTTCCTTTCATGTGTAACAACATAGATTCGGTGAGGGTTTGGAACCTGCAGTCAGCGATGATACCACTGATATTCCTGACGGGCTGGATCGCCGCAAGAAACGTATCCGTTACGAACCCTACAAGCCAAGCGTCCAATTTAAACGTGTACGTCCAGTGTGTATTTCGTAACCCAGATGGGGCTTCATTTTCCAGAGTTTTTGTGATTTCGGACATATATTGGACTTTCGACGTTGCAAAAATAGTGGGTATAGCTTTCACCTCATCGAAGATTGCAGGATAGGGAATCCCATCCGCATTCTCAAGGTAGACACTGATCCTTTCAGCGTCGCTGGTAACGGTAAAAGCTGTAAGATGATTGCTGCTCCTGGGGTCCTTATTGATATTCCTCCCAAGGCTCACGTATGCATCCAGAACAACGCGTTTTTGATCAATGCTGAACCCTCGCACCCCTTGCCACATTAGACTCTGAGGGTATATCTTCACGGTGAACCTGGTTACGATTCCAAAATTGTTCCCCCCTCCACACAGTGCGAAAAACATTTCTGGTCGCTCAGCATCAACATTGAGAATTCCGCCATGGGCGCCGATGATCTACAAGGCAGAAAGTCTGGGTTAATGCCACACTATATCTGAGACGCCATGCGCTGGGAATTAAATGCTAACCTCATAGTTTATAACGTTGTTACAACCCCAACCGTACATATTGGACAAAAGGGAGATGCCACCTTCAATAATGCCTTAGTGGGTTTTCGGCTTCGAAAAAAGCCTTGTTGCTTGTTGACACTCACCTCCGAGGATGTGGCCTCCAACTCCTACGTCGGCGGCAGACGCGCCCACAGCTGTCATATTATTGACCTCCAAAATTTTATATACATCATACCACGTATTCCCCGTTCCCAGAACTGCAGTCTTGCCATCTGGGGATATTGTGATCTCGTTAATGGCTTGCATATCGAAGGTCATGCCATCTTGGATATTGGATGCGCCGGGGAACGTAGCGTGTCCACCACTTCGGACGGCAAATGTGCAGTTGATTTCTGTATTTACAAACATAGCGAAGGATACTTGTTTGACGTTTTCGGGGCGGAAAATACACATTGGACTGACTTTTGACTGCTGCTGAGACCAAAAGCTCGTTTGGAACCGGCTGTATTTGTCGCTCCCCGGGAATGCAACTGTGTCCGCGTATGTCTTGGAAAGATAAGAGCACGCAAGCTCACATCGGCGGGGGATGGCATTCGTCTCGTTAAATTTAGGGAAGCTCGGCACCTTTTCAAGAGGATCATCTTGGGAGACTGGGGGACTGCTGGGGTGGATATCTGGTGATTTGAAGGCCAAGCTATGCCAACCCAGCAGAATCGATACGAGTGCAGAATAGCAGCTTGACCTCATCACTAGAAATGTGATCGACAATATATATATATATATTTTCTTATTGGAAATGGAAGCACAGTTTTCCTTTGCGGGTGAAAATTTGAAGGTGGGAAAACATTGGGTGGTTGGCGCGCACAAGGGATCAGGCAGAGAAAGGCATTTTCCTAAGTTAAAGCAAGCTGTGGATTTCGTCCCCTTTCGTTTTCTCAATGCGTTGACCTTGACCCTCCAACCGCCGCAAGTGACAGTCATAGCACGAAAAATAATAATCAGGGCTAGCCCTAAAAGGTTTATTCGTAAATGCCAACCTCTCATGAATGGGATAAATAAACAGGTGGTAATTTCCCCGAAGGTGTATTCGCTCTTCTGGGATTACCTGCGATAGACAACAAAGGAACAGCAACAAAGGGAATCCACAGGTCGCGGTTTAAGCGCGAAAGAAACACCTGCGATGTGAGAGCTGGGTGTGACTAAATATCATTAAATAAAATCATCGCTGATTTGTAAAATTAGAAATATCTAAGTGTGACAAATAAGCAATATTCAAAAATAATACATTGAAGTTGAGATCAGTGCCAGATATGATCCACTTGGGGGCAGCAGTGCTTTAAATGAGTGCGCGCATGCTACTGCAATGCTGGAGTCCACGCGGCGTGGAGCCAGTGTCGGAACTTCTGCGGGCTGACGTTGACTAGTGGATGCAAATTCAGATCCCCAAAGTCATAACAACCGGCGGTTGTCGCTAGCAGGTGGGTCAGCCGCCATTGATGCAGCAGATCACCAGAAGCTTTGCATTATATGAAAGTAAACACGGCGTGCATATGTATCATAGAGCAAGCCAATAAACGGGATAAAATAAAATGGGAGAAGTCAAAAACAGAAAAAAAAAAGAAAAGAAAAGAAAAGAAAACTCACCTCGTATGATCTCCGCCTCCTTTACAATGTCACCCAGCGTCATCCGGCGGCCACATACTCTAAACTCCGTCGTCCACTGCGGCAAATCCAGCGCTGCAACAATATACCTTGCCAAATCCTGAGCGGAAGTCATACACACGACCACGGGCGCCCCCAAAACATTAAAATAAGGAATCTCAGCCTTCATCATGCAGATATTCATGAGATATTCCCCCTCACCATCTATATACGTACCCTTACCAAGTTGAAACGCTGCCATGCCTCCTGGCGCAAAGCGTTCGTAGAATATACCGCAGGCGAAAACTGCGTACTGCATACCGTACTGTTCGTACTGTATCGATTCCTGTTAGGGCATATCGAAGGCTACTGCTATTGCTGTAGTCAACTTCCAGTACTTGCCAGCCTTTCGCAGCGAGGCCTGGGTTGCTCTGGAAAATGGGATCATTAGCTTATTCAGTAAGAAAGATTTTAGGGGGTAGTCGGGTTGAGTAGGGCCGTTTTGAGTACTGCATTTCTGTACATACATATCGGGAAAGGAAGTAAATTGGTGGTACGTTTGCGTCGAGATGTAGTGGGCAATGTATTGGGCGAGCCCACTGGTCCCAGCGATTGCTACCTTCATCATGGTCAAACTGTGTGTGAAATGAGCGAGTTTGAAAATACATGATCCAAGGGGGAGATGGTATAAATAGACATGAGGATGCAAGAGTGCCGGCCGCTTGGAGTCAAAGTATGCGGCGCTTTTCCTCATCTGCAAACAGTTTCTTGAGCGGCAGTTCCGTGTGTCCCAGGTTCCAGTGTCTCCGAGGTGCATAGCTTGCCCATGGGCATCAACCAAAAGTTCACCCTATGACTCTGGGGAGGAGAGGCGGAGGTTTGGAGCGCAATCGGTAAACAAATCAACGTCCTGTGATCATGTAGTGAAAATTTTCCTCAGAGGGTAGCGTGGGCATAATTGTGCTAGGATGGTTAAAACTGTGTGAAAGAAACAAAGGACATAAGAGCAAAGCTCCATCAAGACTTCAGCTAGCCAATCGTCGTGTAGAAGTAGGATGTATCATATTTGATCAAGCACAGACTTTCGTCAGTATTGCATCATGATTTCTCAGATAAACATGTCCATCATCCTACTATGGATGTATGGCCAATGAAATAGTAAGCCCTCCCTGACGTTTGGCCAAACGTGATTACTAGGCCTTTCTCAAGTAGCAGCTAGAACGCTGCATGAAAGATTTTATACCCAATACAATGGAAATAAATAGTCTCTCCCGGATAGAAGAGCAAAGTTTAAAAGTACAGGAAAAATTAATGTCAATGAATGGACGTCCTTCACTGGATGCTGGTTGGTTCCATACCCCCAAGCATGGGGATCCCTTGATATTCGACAGGCTGACTGACCAATCCGTGAGCGGCGCAATGGGGCCCACCATAGCAACAACGTCATGCAGGATCTTTGAGCATGGATAGGGTATGGGGGATATAGGGCATATGCAGTAGAGCCGCAGTCTAAATGCCGCAAGGGATGCTGAAATTGGAAATAGACCGTGTGTAGGCAATCAAGGCCTGCGCGATCCCAAAAGATGAGGGCGGGAAATGAAATAGGCATCGCAAGGGAGGTTGAGAAAGCACAACGTAGGTCTCTACGGTGTGTCTGTCATAAACTGGGCTCTTGCAAGGCGGGTTAATGGGTGGGTTGGCAGATGATACCCATTTCCAAAAGGATTGTGCCTTGTGGGATGAAAGAAGAAAATAAAAAGCTCAAGGCAGCAGTAGAATCTGCAGAACAGTGATCCCGGCAACTTGTATCCTCCATTCATGGTGGTAATCACTGCAGAAGGAGAGCCATGCGCTTTGCAGCAGGATGCAGAATCCATGTGGGGAGAGGCGAACTGGGCTCGAACGGGTGTCATACAGAGTTCCCACCCTACATCTCCTATTCGCCAGCTAATTGATTTCCCAAATCCCGGGCTGACAGGCGGTGGCGGGTATTGACATGCTGAATTGATAAATGGGGTGTTGTTGCCTGTTGTCTGACTCGGAAGTGAGTTCTGGCGGAATCTGTGATACTGGCGCGGAACGATACCACGTGACTCCGCGTCCGTGCTCGTCCTGGCGGGATCGCGTTAAACGCGTTTAATCGCGGGATCGTTGAGGAAGACGGCGGGGACGAACGTTGTGTTTTAGGGAATGAAGTAGAGTTGATCTGATTATGCCGGAACGTATGCTTTTAGAGTCAAAGTTTGCCGGGTCCGTTTCTGTTTCCGGTCAATGTACTACGTAGGATTCTGTCTAGAATACTGTGGATCGTGTAAGATTCTAGTGTCCAAACACTGGCAAACGGGGGTGATAAAAAACATTGCCATTCTTCTACATGGTTTACTAGGCAGTAAAACATTATCGTATGGAAGAAGACAAAAGAGAGGCTGGAGAAGATGAATAATAGGTTTCTTATTTTTTGACGGTTGATATCCTCCCCCGCTAGTTATTTACAGCGATTTAAGCGACGCCAACCCAACCAGTCCGGCGAAACAACCCGCTGCAACCTGGATGACGCCCGTGCACCCTCCGCGTCCACAGCGCGACGCGAGCAATATCAGAACCACCTGCGCCCTGCACCATACCTACCACTTCTCGTCGTCTCCGCTCTCCTCTCCTCGTAGCGTGCATTTATCACGTCAAATTTCTGCACGCGGAGACACAATTCCTGTGCAAAGATATTCAACGGGTGATCAATTGTGCCCTATCCTCTCCCACCAAGATGAGCGATCCCGCGCAGCCATCACCGGCTGGCGTAAATCCTTCTACCGTGCCGCCGGCGGGAGACTCCACGAATAACAATTACGCATTCCTCGTCCATTCCCAGAAGTCTTTAACACAAAATCTACCTCCCAAAGTAGATAACAAGGCCCTGGCGCGGCAGAAGCGTCGAAGGACAAGGTATTTCCGTCCCTATATACCCAAGCTTTCTACGTGATACTTGAGGGCTCTATATATAGCCCGTTCACATCTCGTCTCCAACTTGTGTGGTCTTTGCCAATTCAGATGCTAATTTCACGTTGTAGTCCTGATGACCAAAAGATTCTCGAAGCGGAATATCAACGGAATCCAAAACCAGACAGGGCAACGAGGGCTGAGATCGTCAACAGCGTTTCACTGGGCGAGAAAGAGGTTCAGGTATGGTTCGAGGACGTATTATGTTTCTCGGGAGACCAGAGGTCTAACGCGTTCCTTTGATGAAGATCTGGTTCCAAAATCGACGGCAAAATGACCGACGGAGATCCAAACCACTCAATCAAGAAGATCTCAGAGCGCCCAAATCCTCCGGTTCAGATCAGGACGCGTCCAATGGCGACAATCCCACGAACCCTAAGAGCCAGTCCTCTCAGTTGCCCAAGGCTGGTCAGGGAACTGGTGGTCAAATCAGCACTGACGCGAGACGCGAGTACATATGTATATCGCCAGGTAGCTCATATAGGTCGCCAATGGCGGATTTGTATGGGGCAGCCTTTAGTTCTCAAACGATCAATTCACAGACAACCGTTTTATCTCAGCACGAAGAAACACATGTCGAGGTTGGCAAACAGAAAGGGTCAACAGGTGGGAGCAAAGAAGGCAGTGCAACACTGATAAACGAAAAACTCCACATCGAGTCGATCAGCAGGAAACGGTCCAGGTCTGAGCCTGAGGCTCCAAACACAAACAAATACAGCCCGCCGACTTCAAGCACATTTATACCCCCTCCCCTGCGCATATCATTGTCTTTCGACGGGGAGGCAGTGGTTCGCAAGGAAGGGGAAAACACCCCGTCGCCACAAAAACCATTGGACTCCATTCGAATTTCCATGTCTGCGGATGGTGAGGCTCTAATTAGAGCTGCGAATGAAGAATCCCCTATAAAGAACCGCACGTTTCTATTCCACAATACCCGACCTGCTTTTGGAGGACTGCGAAGGAGCATCAGCGCTTTTCCCCTCGGCGCGCTGAAGGGGATAAAGGAACAACAAGATCCTAAGCCATTTGGTAGATCTCGTGACTCCCGTAACTGGGAACTTTATTGTGATACCGATGCTCGAACTGCGTTGCAGGGGTCAAAAAGCAGTCTTTTGTCATCCACGTCTCGAAGTGTGAAACTAAGTCGCCGAAAATCCGACTTAGGTCATGGGCGCAAGGCCTTGATGCCACGAACCAATCTCCCCAACACCTTGCCGCTCACCGAAGAACCTGAAGGGAAGCGTAAAAAGCTGTCACGGGCAATGTCTTCTTTAGCTCGTTTAGAAACTGGTCACAAAGTATCGACATCCAAGATGGGAGTGGGAGAGGGAGCCATGGATTACCATACAGGCGACTCAGATAAAGAAAATTGGATTCCGGGCACTCAAATGTCCGCAGCAAGGCGGGCGCCTTCTAACAAACAAAAGGCCCGCCGTGGAGTACTCCAGAAACCCAACCAAATCCAGAATACTAGCAATCGACAAGTAACGGGCTCTAACAAGACGCAGCGGGGCTATCAAGGCCGACTTCTTAATCCCAACCCCAATACTACTTCAGAGGATGCAGATGATGGAACTGAAAAATCTTATGGGGAGCTGGGCGAAATATCCCGGCTCAGTCAGGATGAAGATCTGGATTGCATCCAGGGTTTGCTGTCTTTGAGCCAGGGTGCTTGGAAATAGTTAATCATGGTTGATCAACGGAATGGAAACTTATTTTTTTTTGGCTAGAATTATATAACTACCCTTGGACTTTGATTTTGTTGGCGTTCTCTGGAAGGCGTGGTTTTAATGCTGCACAATAACGGCCATGTTTTATAGATGAGAGAGTCTGGTTAATAATAAGTGGACTATATTTTGCTCGCTCCGTCCTCCGCTACTGCAAGCTCGCGGCCCATCATTGGTCGGCATCTTCCAAATTTGCTATGAATCAACTTCTTTCGCATAGTTACCAGCTTGTTTCACAAACAAAAAAAAAAAAAAAAGAAAGAAAAAGCAAAAATACAACACAGCATCAACCACCTGCAGAACCGGCTTCTGCAGTAACCCACACCTTGCTTTGACCTCGCCGTCGGAAACGTGGTCCCCAGCCGGCCAGGCCCCGCCGCTTAATGAATCTGCGTGGCTACCCTACTTTTGGAAGTTTATCGCCTGCTTCCACCTGCTTACGAGCGGGCAGCTGGAATCAGTTGCCGCCAGCGATTCAACGCCCTGTTCCTGTAAGTAACCCTCCATGGGATGGTTTCCAATATGGCTGGATGGGCCGTTCCGGCAGCTTCATCTTTGAGCCACATCCTAGCCCTTGCGGTCCCCGCGCCTCTCGCATGTTTCCTGTGTCCCGCCCCGTATCAATCAACTTGCAATAACAGAGAAATCTTCGAGGGCTTATTTTTTCTACTATTTTGCGGAATAAGCTTGAAGCGCTATTCGTTTTTGAACTATTTTCCTGCTCTAATTTTCTATGTTTTCTCATGTCCTGCCCCGTTCTCTCGGTCATCTGACAGCGAAAAAAGTGTTCATCATGAGCTTTAAGCTCTCATTGGCGGCGTTCGCGGAACAAGCTATGGAACAGCTTATGTTACTCGATGTTCTAGCCACCCAGCTCAACCACTTGATTTACATATATGCTTTGTAGTGCCCAACAAAATACCTAGAAACTTTTGCATACTCGTCTTCGAGTTTTGTTGTACCTGTCTTTCCGGTTTCCTCTTATATTGAAAGATCTCGGTTTAAGCTGAGGACAGGATCCTTATACATATCCCTACTATCATTAATAACTTTGCCACCCCGACTGAATCCTCCACATAAGCTTCTACCATGGAATGCAGAGCTAACGGTCTATCGAAATCCGCAAAATGGCTCCAGATATCCCCTCTAACCTTGGATCTTCCTCTCTGCCAGACCCTACATTCCACAGCGGCTCTGCCTAAACATAGAAAGGGTTTCACTAGCCCCTCCACCATGCACAGGACCCCGCACGTGGGAATTGTCGGTGCGGGCCTCGCGGGCTTGAGATGTGCAGATGTTCTACTTGATACTGGCTTTCGAGTAACTATCCTCGAAGCTAGGAATCGAATTGGCGGTCGCGTATGAAAATATTTTTTTTTAATATTTTTCCTTTTCCTTCTCTTTAGTTACACAGGTGGGCATAATTCTGATCTTCTATTACATACTAGGTATGCCAAAGCGACGTTGGCAAGTATGAAGTGGATGTGTAAGAGTGGCAGTCTCAATCTTTTTTTTTTTTTTTTTTTTTTTTTTTTTTTTTTTGAAGAAAATGACGGATGCTAACGTCTTGTCTACAGTGGACCAAACTGGATACATGGGACACAAAACAATCCCATCGCAGATCTCAGTAACAGTTCAAAAACTATTACCCATGCATGGGGTGGTTTGCAAAATGTTATTGATACATCCGGAGAGCCTCTGGATGGGAGACTGATAGCAAGGATTTCAGACTTTATATGGACGACTGTGGAAGATGCATATGAATATAGTCGTCTGAACAAAGAAATCATTCCAGCAGACAAGAGCCTCTTTGACTTTATTAAGGAGCAGCTGGAAAAAGCAGAGTTTTCGGAAGTTGAGAAGGAAAAATGCATTGAGCTGTCGAAATTATGGGGTTCATACATTGGGTCTCCAATTGATAGACAGAGCTTGAGATTCTTCTTTCTGGAAGAGTGTTTAGAAGGGAGTATGTTTTCCCCCGACCTTTCTATCTTCCAACCGATTTAACTAACTGCCTTTGCCTAGCCAATCTTTTTGTGGCATCCACATATAAGAAAATCGTCGACTCAGTAGCTGCCGCTGCACTCAAACGCGCTGAAGTCCATCTCAATGACCCTGTGGTCAAAGTTGAAGCAAAACCCCGAGTTTCGGGTACGAACCACCAAGTTAGTGTTACGACATCAACGGGGACCCAATATGTCTTTGATGAGCTGGTAACCACGTTCCCCCTCGGCTGGCTCAAGCAAAATAAATCCGTCTTCCAACCGGCCCTGCCAGCCCATCTCTCCAAGGCCATCGACAACATCTCATACGGCCAACTAGAAAAGGTCTACATCCACTTCCCCTCCGCTTTCTGGGAACAACAACCAACCACGGGCCCCACCACCAGCACAAAACACCCCCTATCAGCCCTCCAAAAATCCCAAACCCCACTTCCCGAAATCTCCCCGTTCACCGAATTCCTCTCCCCCACCTACACAAACCACCCAGTCACCACCCCCTTCTGGAACCAACAATGCGTCTCCCTCTCCGCCCTTCCCAGCCCATTTGCCCACCCAACCCTCCTCTTCTACCTCTACGGCCCCTCCGCCACCCATCTCGTCTCCCAAATCCACGCCATGCCCCCCTCCTCAAAGGAATACCACGACACAATTAACACTTTCCTGCACCCCTTCTACTCCCGCCTACCAGGCTACGACCCCTCGTCGCCCAATTGTCATCCAACTGCCGTCCTCGCCACGCAGTGGCAAAAGGACCCCTGGGCGGGGAACGGCAGCTACTCGAATTTCCAGGTCGGGTTGGAGCAGGGGGATCGCGATATTGAGATTATGCGCGAGGGCATGGGTGTTGAGCGCGGGGTGTGGTTTGCGGGCGAGCATACGGCGCCGTTTGTGGGGTTGGGGACGACGTCGGGGGCTTATTGGAGCGGGGAGGCGGTTGCGGGTCGGATTTGTGAGTTCTTAGCTGGAACAGGTACCGGTGGATAGCGGGGAGCTGGCGGGTTGCCGGGGTTAGATTGCTTTTGAGGTCGTGAATGGGTTTAAGTGGGGATATTTCTAGTTTGTGTGGGTATTGGTGATTTTCCGGGACGGGATAGCTAGGTCAATTTCGGTACCTTTGCTTGTGGCCATGCTTTTTTTTATTTTTCGTTTTTGGTACTTACTATTGAGCACACATATACGTCTATACATATATATCTGGCTGATAGAAACTGAATTATACACATTACACTTACTTAGAAACCAATTATATACAGCGATTTGACGAATGTTCCTCATTAATAGTATATTCTGATCATGGAGACTCCCTACAGAACACATTTAAGGTAATTAAGTCACTCACTATGCTTGCCCGGACTTATCCTAACCTAAGGTCAGAGAGTCTACATGAAGAATGGGAAATAGCGTGTTAAATCTAACTATCATGACAGACAAATTGAACAATTCTATCAGATATAATTATTTCTCTTCATTTATTATCTTTTTAGCTTCTACTGTATTAGTAAATTGATACATTCCAAAGTTTCATAGTGGTATGCTCCGTAGTTCTACTCAATTGACGTTTCATAATAACAAAACTAACAATCGAACCGTTCCTTATGTGATATAATGAATAATCGACGCTAGTAGTAAACATAACAACGGTGGAAAAAGGTTGTTTTTGGACATTTTTACTCCTGTCAAATATATATAGGCAGGGTGCCCCAGGCTCAGGGATGTAGCATGACCATACAAAATATATAGGAAAAATTTGGAAAAATTCACCGCAAGTAATTATATTTCCAAAATTTCGCTCTCGGGCTTTACATTTCATTATATGTAAAAATAACGACAGTGAAAATCTGAAACGCCACATCGCCGCACACCCCTGGCTAACCTGAGGCCGCCTGGCAAAGACCTCCTTAGATTCGATTGGAAATGATGGATCAATTGTAAGCGCGAGACTCTGAATTTTCACATGAGATTTGATGTTGTCGTGGAGGATGAGATGGGGCAATGAATTGAGTGAATGAAATGATGGGAGCGGGATCCCCGTCTTTTCGGAGATTAAGCTTAGCTCAGGATATGTAAAATGGGAATTTAAGATTAACGGTTCTGGTGGGCAGTGGTGGACATTTGAGTTTATTGAGCACAAGGGAGGGAAAGGGTGAGATGTATTTGTACAGAAATCTGAGGGTATGGCAAATGGATATGGAAATGGAGAGTGGGAAAATCGGAAGCGCGTTAAAGACTGGAAAACAATAGCCATCATTGTAGCATAGAGTTATATTTGCGCTAGTAATGATATTTCATGTATTGAATTGTCTCTGGCCATTTACATCCCTTACTTGGATTTGTGGCCTGGAGAATATGACAGAAATTTGTTGGAGCAGCTAAGGGTAGACAGGAGGAAATTCGAGGTCGAAATTGAGAAGGGCGAGAGAGAGAGAGAGATAGAAAGAGAGAAAATAGAACAGGGTATCGCAAAACCTGCTCAACCAACGCCAAACGAACTGATATCCATGAGGTAAAAGCAAGATTAACTGCAAAACAAAAATGGACGAAGTAGTATTGTTACAGGCATGTAGAGAAACAACGCAGGTGACATTCGAAGGGAATAAAACATAAAAGGATGAAGGGTATGGCGCTGGCGTGAGACGATGATCAAGATGCAATTTGAGGGTAACTTATGTAGGAAACGGGGTAGACCATATATGAAACAAAAAAAAAAAAAAGATCGTCAAGGATACACCTACTTCAATCTTCCCAAATTGTTTCAAGGTCCAGATCTTGTCTCCCCTCTGCCCCGCAAACGCTCCAGCGTTTCCTCTTGTCCGCCCGACAACCGCCGTAGGAACCCAAGCCCCCAAATCGCGGATTACCCAGCGGGCTCGAAGAGCCAGAAACGTCAATAGCACTCCGCCGTCGGTTGAAATCTTTGCTGGCGGCAGCTTCGTCGGCTCGATCTGCTGCAGCTTTCAACCTGGCAATTTGATCGGCTTCGATGGCGGCGGCTTCTGCGTCGGGGATATCTGGGATCGTCTCTAGGGAAGATATGCTGGGGCTGCGGGAGCGTATACTCGACGGGGTCGACGGCATTGAGGAAGTAGAGGAGTAGGAGTAGGAAGGGTAGGATTCGTTGAATTTTGAGGGAAATACTATTGGGGATGCCTGGGCGGAGATGGGACTACTGTTGCCTGGGTAGAGGGGGGAGGATGGTCGTCGTCGAGCTGTGCGGGGAAGGGTGTTAAGAGTTCCAGGCGATAGAGGCGAGGCGGGGGATACATCGAATTGAATCCTTCTCGATCTAGGGGTGGCCTGAAGCTCTGGATGCTCAACGATCGTTTCTGATATATTCAGCGTACTGATGCTCTGGTATAAACCGTCTTCCACCGAAGAGCGGAGCGGACTCTGGCGTCCCGTTGTCGAATCATGAGGACTGGATGATCCTCCTGTGTGTGCTGTAAATGTGTATCGACCGCGCGAGTCCGGTCCTGGAGAAGAGTGGGCACGTGCCATGGATGGAGCTCCTGGGCTCGCCAGAGAGCGCGAGCGAAGATGTGTTCTGCCGAGGGAGGAATAGGGTTTTGGGGTGAGATTTAGAGTTGGCGGAATCGTCAAGGGCGTCCCCGTCGTCTTCGTTTTCGTCGATGAAGTGGTAATGGTAGCACCGCTATGAACATTCGTTGCTGTTTCTGTGGTTTTAAATGTCGAGGGAGGTGCGAAGCTGCAGTTCGCAGAGGGTTCTTCCGCGTATTCATCTGCATACTCGGGCGGGCTGGGAGGAAGCATGATATCCTCTGGAGCCAGCAGAGTCGAAGACATGATGCTTTTTGTGGCAAAACAAAAGGCGTAAACGGAAGAAACGGGTGATTAGAGCCCCGGTGGTAAAATCATAAGGCGCAGATCACGGATGCATGCTTAGTATGAGAACGGGGGAGAGCGGTGGGAGAGCAACCAAAACTCGCAGAAGCGCTGCCCGGCGGTAGGACAATGCTGCAGTGTCTTTAAGCAAGCTGCAAAACCCCGGCGAAAGACGATCCCCGAACACTTCCTCGGCCTGTATGTCCCAAGTAGAGTTCTTTCAATATTTGCCCGCAGCAAGCCGTGCACTCAAGGGGGCGTTCCTAAGCAGGTGGGGGGGGAGGGTGTTGAAACTCCAAAGGGGGGAGAGAGAAGGCGAGGATAAGGCCACCAACCAACTTCAAGCGAGATAATCCGTCCAGTGGCTAGCCATGAATGCGCGATGGGGGCCGCACGCAGACAAGCAGTGCTCCGTAGATCAAGGGCAGAAGTGGAGAGAGCGTGTGCCTTGTCTCCAGCGTGAACGCCGGGGATGCATGCGATCGATATATATAAAAGGGGGGAAGTGGTTGGCGAGAAGTTGGTTGGCGACTTTTATGTGGTTCTTGTCTGGCGGCTGATACGGGTACAGTACATCGGTATTATTGTATGGAACGAGGAGGTTACGGCTAGAAAGCTGGTGGGAGGGGCTTGGCAGGCAGTAATGCCTCGTATGGTAACGTGCATGGCCGGGCGGGAGGCTGACTAGGACTGCTGTGATTGGCTGTGGTGCTGAGCACGAGCCCTGTAAGCGTGTATTGGTATGGTATCGGATCTTACGCAGGAATAGGAGGGTTTCGCATGGTCACCTGATGCTGGTCTGGTGCCCAGTTCTTCTTGATGATTTTATCTTATTATACACCATGCCATGCCTTGTTGTCTGTCTCCCCTTGGTTGTCTCCTCTTGGCTGCTGCAATAAGTTGGTCTGCTTATTTGTCTGCTCTAATCTCGTCCAGAACCCAGCAGGATCATTTCTTACAACACAGAGGGCCCCCCATCAAATGGCTCTCCTTCGCAGGCAAATTCCCTCATCCACAGGTCATAGCCTATCGCTACGGTCTATCGGGGCTACGTTCTGCATAGCAAGCTTCCCTCCCAATAAGCGGGCTTGTCAATCATGCAATGGTTCTTTGTATCAAATCGTCTTCTAGAACATCCGACATCATGCACTGGCAGGCCACGGCCCAACTGCTCTCCTCGCGTCACTGGCTGGCTGGGAGATCAACCAGGCGGACCAGAAATCGAGAAACTGGTATCTGAATAATCTATTGATCTGTTAAATTCGGTTGAGAGGAGTCGAGAAAAAAAGTTTTCCACCTGATTAACTTGCCCTCTCAAGCTTGTGGCTATCTGCTCAACCAAACAAGGATGACAAGAAAATGCCGCACTAACGAAAATTGCTATGTGGATCGCTTTCGTTTATCTAGAGAAGAAAGAGCATGATTGAGAATCCTGAAACCCGCTTTCGGGGAGAAAACCAATGAGATGAGAAAAGCGAGTAGAAAGACGAAATAACCGCTGGTTCTTCTGTATGCGCAAAACTGCAAAATTTCCGATCTATCAGAATATGAGACACAGAACTATTTATGCATACGGGGGCAGCATTATTGAAACATAAGGTTGCTACAGAGTTGCAACGTTTCAGTCATTGGAATTTCGTCTAACGCTGAAAAGGCTCATTCTGGTTAGGCGCTTGGCTCGTGAAAAATGTTTCCCTTGAAGCTGGAGCATCGCGGATACTTCTCTCGAGCTAATTTAGGATGCGCGCCGTGAGTCAACCTTGACCACTAAAATCTGGGCAATTTCAACTATAGGCTCTCAATTTCTATGGGACAGAAAATAAAAACAAGGGAAAGGAATAAAATCTGCAAATGGGCGCGGGCGCTACCGACGTTAACGAGATGTGGAAAGGAAGTCAATTGGTATGGTTACTAGCATTGTTCAGACGATTCTTCATAGGTACTTGAACTGGGAATTTCTCTAAGGAATTTCTGACGATATGCAGCGCTGAGAATGGGGCTATGATGGACGAGCAACTCTACCTGGCAAAGGATTGCAATGATAGGAGAATCATGTCTGTATGCTTCGACGGATATTTTTTCGGGGTCACTCTGAGCAATACGCACTGTATGTACGGAGTACAATGGCAGAGGATACGAAATATACCAGGCTTAGATGCTATTTCTACCCAAATTTCCAACTGAATATGAGCGGAAATGAATCAAACCACATCATATATTCCGTATATTCCTATCAGCTATGTGGAGTAAGTAACTACTCCTATTAGTTGTCCATCTTCCATTAGATGTCTTGGTGGGTCCGCGCGTCTATTGGAGGCTGCGGCTGGTTCGCGCGCCAACCTTATCTCGCAATCTGGCGCTTACGCTGCGTTATCGTTGTCCCCCTCACTCAACTCTAACAATTCGGTGTCAACATGGAACAAACATGCCCATGACGGGACTAACATTAGGTACCACTTATCTTCATGATGCCAGGGTTTGTCACCCTGCATTTAAAGTATGCCCTTCAGACTACCGTCTTTATTAGACGGCTCACCCCTGTCGCTCTGTCAGGACGCGACAGTGCCGCAAAGCACGCTTTCTTTCACAATCTCGCAACCAGACATGGCCTCCCAGCGCCCTCATCGCAAAGTTTTTCTCACGTGCCGCACACGCCCAGACTCCGCACAAGATCAACCGCATTGGTGGCTACTACACGGAGCGTGAACTTTTCCATGCTCCATACTACGAGTGGGACAACTGGGGTTGCGCAACCAGTCGCCGTGTCCCATGGCCCCTTGATTGGTAACTTGGAACCAACTATGTCAGACTCACCACTGTCCGATGCGCCAATCGACATTGACGCTCTAGTTCCTGGAACTAAACGCTCACCAACAAGCGCCGGCAAGAGCTTCGCTACTGGAATCCCCGATCCAGCAGCCAATGTCGATATCCCCGCTAACGTAGAGGAGGTTAAAGAGGCGCTCTCGCGACCTCCGCCAGTTAACAGCAACTATCTCCCTCTTCCATGGAAAGGCCGATTAGGATATGTACGTTTCCATTCGTCATTGACAATCACTTAAAGCCGTTAACACTGAAACCAACCGCAGGCCTGCCTAAACACATACCTGCGCACCTCTAACCCGCCCGTCTTCTGCGCGCGCACATGCCGCATCTCTTCAATCCTCGAAAATCGCCACCCACTCCAAGACTCCACCCAGCCCGCCCATCGTACCAAAAATCGCCCAGATCTCCAACAACCTCCCGACATCGAGCGTGGGCTGGCATATGTGCAGGCCCTGGGCATAGCGAACGCGCGCGATATTGTGAAGCTGCTCCGCTGGAATGAGCGCTACGGGATTAAATTTATGCGGCTTTCGAGCGAGATGTTTCCTTTTGCGAGCCATGCGGAGCATGGGTATAGATTGGAGCCGTTCGCGGCTGATGTGCTGGCAGAAGCCGGGAGGGTTGCGGCCGAGCTGGGGCATCGGTTGACTGTTCATCCGGGTCAGGTGCGACATCTTTCTTTTCCCTCTCTTTCTTTGGAGGGCATTTTGACACTGATCGTTAAAAATAAAGTTTACACAATTGGCTTCACCGCGGCCCACTGTTACCGAAAATTCTGTCCGAGATCTTGAATACCATGCGGAGATGTTGCGGTTGTTGAAACTTCCGCCGCAACAGGACCGGGATGCTGTTATGATTTTACACATGGGCGGGGTTTTTGGTGACAAACAAGCTACCCTTGATCGTTTTCGGAAGACCTACAGGACACTATCGGGCGATATCAAGAATCGTCTTGTCCTGGAGAACGACGATGTGAGCTGGACGGTGCACGACCTACTACCCATCTGCGAGGAGTTGAACATTCCGCTCGTGCTCGATTACCACCATCACAATATCAACTTTGATGCAGGCAAGGTCCGTGAGGGGACGCTGGATATCATGAGTCTTTACGACCGCATCGCCGCTACCTGGACGAGAAAGGGCATCACGCAAAAAATGCATTATTCCGAGCAGACACCGTCCGCTATTACGAAGAAGCAGCGACGCAAACATAACTCCCGCGTCCATGTGCTTCCCCCCTGCGATCCCACAATGGATCTTATGATCGAGGCTAAGGATAAAGAGCAGGCTGTCTTTGAACTTATGAGGACATATAAACTTCCCGGTTTTGAGAAGATCAATGACATTATTCCCTTCACACGCGCCGATGAGAATAAAGTTAGACGGGCCGATGCTAAGAAGCCGAAGGAGAAGACGACAAAGATAGCGAGGAAGTCAGTCTCGTCCCTGAAGCAGCAAGGTGCTGTTGAATCAGATCATGACAATTATGTTGATGATGACGGTGAAATAGTCGCAACGGTTATCCCTGAGGAGGAAGTTGGTATGGGCGGACCGGAAGGCCGCGTCTATTGGCCTCCCGGCATGGAGGAGTGGTTACAATCGGCTAAACGTTCGTCCAAGCTTGAGATTGCGGAGGTAATCGTGGCGAAGAATAGCAGCGGCAACAGCACATTGGATACGGCAACTACTCCGGCGACACCGCGGAAAAGAGGGAGGCCGAGAAAAACTACAGATACCGCAACAGCCGCAGAGACCATCACTGAGAAACCAGCAGTAAGGAAACGGCAGAGGGCTAAAAAGGCTGCTTCGATATCCTCTGACGGTGGTGGTGGCAGCGAATATGAAGCTGTTGTTGACCTAGCTGCTACGGACAAGAAGGCCACCGCTACCCGTGCTTCGGGAAGGACTAAAGGGAAGAAGATTGATTATGCAGATGAAGAGTCTGCCTAATATACTGGAGTTCACGGATGGGTTCTATGCTAACATTTGGCGCGTGGGAGTTACGGAGTTACGGAGTAATGTGTAGTGAAGAGAGCTTGAATACCTTTGGGCAGGCAGTGACTAAATGGAGGCGTACATAGCGGCGAGGGAGGTAATATTATATCATAATAATAAATTTCTAGGATACCAAAGAGAATCGTCATTCATACCTTGTTAATAAAAATTGTTGTTTTGATTGCGGCTGCAACTGCGCCCTTGTAACACGCAGGACTAACTATTAGGATAAAGACTGTTAGGATAAAGACAACTGCTTCTTAAATCCGGTTTCATATTGCTGCAAGCACCTACATATCTCATTTTTAGACTCCAGTAGAGGTAGAATAAGCCCTTTCTCATTTTATCTTTTATTTCATTTCTAACTAATTGAATTATATTTGGCTTTATTTTTATTTTTATTTTTTTCCCTTCTTTCGTGGCGTCTTCCCTCCACAAGGCTGACCTGAGACAACCTCGGAACTTAACTAAATAGCATAGCTAGCTACAAACCACCGATTTCAACAACTCACCGAGCTCCCCTCAATCTGTGGTGATTCCTATTTACATTCCTACGGCTTCCTCGAAACTACCTACGAGCTGGCTCGCCCACCTTTCACCCGTCCGCGGCTTCGCTCCCTCAAGCCTGGCCTCCGACTCCGCACCACCCTCACCTTTCTCCGCTATATCTTCCCGCAGACTCGCCAGCGTCTTCGAGCCAGATTCCTAGACTTTCGCCACGAAATACTCCCGGCCTTTCGACAGCAGACGCATCTGCGCATCTATCGGGCAATTGTCAACAGGCAGCAGTTGAAATATCGACATCATCCTCCCCATCATCGCAGGGACTACATTGCATATCCTGCGGGGAATATAAAGAGGACCGGGTTACTATCATATTTGTTCTCTAAACGAAAGACAAGGAAGGGAATTGAATTTAGGCATAGAGCTAAAGGGACAACTGCGACTCGATCACAATTTACATTCGATTATCACCAAAACAGATCCGTGCTTGGCGCCGTCAGCAGGCGCTTGAAAGATGCAGAGGGTGGTGGCCGGATGACGACACCACAGTCAGGGTCGTTAGGCCCGTACAGGGCTGACTCTACAAGTGATGGGAGTTCTGTATATGGATATGGATCTGCGCATGAGGGCGCTGGTCGCGAGCGGGGAACACGCAGGAGAAAAGTTTACGGCTATTTGAAGGCGGCCAACGAGCTACGACAAGCCTATTCGGCACAGTGGGCGCAGAGGACCCAGGATTATGATTACGATACACGCGATATGCCTGGTGGGTTTCCAGACGTTGAGACGGCGAGATTTGCGGACGAGCAGATGGTTTTGTTCCCTAGTTACGGCCGAAGGCATGTGAGGCAGAGGCCAGAGGTTGATTATAGGGATTTGGGACCCGAATCGTGGACAGAACCTGACGATCCGCAGTCAATGGGGAGTATGGAGTTTTGGAGAAGGGAGTGGGAGAAGTATGAGCAGGATAACGCGATTGTGGATGTGGATGTACGAGGGTGGATATATGCGCCTCATCGGGGCCCGATGAATCGGAAAAATCGAATTCTGATTTCCCTTGCAAGACGGCTGAGTGGGATACCGACTCCGGATACGGTTGCTACGGAGAATAGGCCATCATCGGCTGTAGTGAACGAGGAAGCAGTGGTCGATAAACAGGAGCAATCTATCATTCACAAGGGTCAGAGAGATGCCGACCCTGAGTGGCAGGCTAATGCTAGAAGGGAAGCCTTATCGTCCAGGCCTGAAGGCGATCAAAATGCTTATTACAGCAATCAGGATGAGATAGCCGCTGCAAACGCCCAGCTCATGGAACGGCTTCAGCCGTTTTTGACTAGCCCGATCGTCCGCGTCCCCATTACGGTTTTCTTTTTTGACCAAAAGAATAGCCAGTCACGGACGGTTTCGACGAATGATGGCGGCCATTTCTCAGTTCGCGCAGCCCTCGACTTCGTTCCTACTCATATTAGGGTGCTGGCTTCAGAGAATCTGTCAGCCACGAAAGAGGTAACGATTATCGAACCAACAGGGATTAGTTTGATCAGCGACATTGATGATACTATTAAGCACTCCGCAATTGCAAGCGGTGCGAAAGAGATCTTTCGAAATACCTTCGTGCGCAACCTCGAAGACCTTACCGTGCTTGGTGTGAAGGACTGGTATTCAAAATTAACCGAAAAGGGCGTGAAGGTACATTACGTTTCCAACTCCCCGTGGCAACTGTACCCTTTACTTAATAGATTTTTCGGCTTGGCTGGCCTTCCACCCGGATCATTTCACCTGAAACAGTACTCGGGGATGCTACAAGGCATCTTCGAGCCTACGGCGGAGAAAAAGAGGCCGACGCTTGAAAGAATCATGCTTGATTTTCCTGATCGAAGGTTCATTCTTGTGGGAGATAGTGGAGAGGCGGATCTGGAAGTCTATACAGAATTGGCCCTTGCTAATCCTGGCAAAATACTCGGTATATTCATTCGAGACGTGACAACGCCTCCCACCCATAAGTTTTTTGACCAATCGGTAACTCATTTCGAGAGACCTTCCCCTCGAAGTAACACAAATGGACCTCCCCCTATTCCAGGACGTTCAGGCGAACAGGAGACGCGTCCACCCAGTCTGCCACCGCGCAAGTATCTTGAACAGAAAGATCCGGCGAAGAATGAATCTGTCACACCTTCGGGAAATCTCATTGATTTGGGTACCGAGGAAGAGTTCTCTGCGATGAATAGCAATGAATCGCCTAAGGTATCATCTAACAATCGGCAAACACCTCCCACAAGGCCCTCCAAACCTGCTGCTCTTCGAAGTGGGGCTGTCGAACCGGATAGAGACGGTAACAAGGACACATCATCGTCCAGCAGCATTCGGCGGAAACCCGCGCCACCCCTCCCACATAAGCCTCTGACGTTATATTCTTCACAATCGCAGGGACAGCCTGGAGTTTCTACTCTGCCCATCCGTTCAGCACAAACGTTCCATCATGCTGGCCCACAACCGCCTAGTCGCTCCTCAACAAACCAAACTTTGAATAATAATATTTCTAATAGGCCAGCCACTGGGAGCGGGGAAAGCTACGCATCTGCTGTCCGAGATAAGGTTGCAAATATATACAACCAGCTTCCATCAGCGCGATCGTATTGGGAGAGTACTCCTATTACCCACTCTCCGCCCGCTATGGAACCACCCCCTTCTTCACGCCCAGCAGCCAAAGAACCGCCTCCACCAGTTCCCCCGCCGCGGCGCAGCAACACCCAACCCCTGTCGAAACAGGCCCCAGGCCCTGCCCAAGACCCACGCCATAGCAACACCTCCCTCTCCCTCTCCCTCTCCCCCTCCCCCTCTTCCTCTTCCCTATCGGCAACCCCGCCTGCCCCCACACGCTCAACAACCAATATACCCTCCCAGGCACACGCACAGCGACAACCGCCACCCTCGTCCTCTCTTTACTCAATCCCAAACTCATCGACATCATCCTCCTCAATAGCATCCAGCCTCGGACCCACAGGAGCGCCAGCGGTACCTAATAAGCGTGAGGAAATGTGGAGGCGGCGCTGGGCGCGGGCGAAGGACATTCTGGATCGACAGGGGGTTTTGTTGATGAGTTGGAGAGTTGGGGATGATGTTCGGGATGTTTGCCTGGGGTTGGTGGAGCAAGCGGAGAGGGAACGGGGGAAAGGAGGGAGGAGACAAGGTGAGGTGAGGTGAGGTGAGGTTTGCCGAACATGTTCACCTATTTGTATTTGTAGGGAAAGATTGCAGGCTGGGCAATATATAGAATTGTTTTAAGGGTGGCAAACTGGTTTCTGAAAAAGTATCCTTTTCTTTTATTTTCTTTTGCGGTAAAATTATCTATCTTTTAAATTCCATATTATCCAACTTCGTAATACTACACCCGAATAGGCCACGTCACCAGCGCTGCCAGTGTCGCTTGAAAGAAATGTTCATCTCTCTATATATTATAGAAAAACCAACTTTTCCGAGTAAAATGCCCTGTAATGTGACCTCACATGATATCATGTGCACCCCATCAAATCCATGAACAGGCTCTGCAGTCTGTATAACTCTGATATTAATCTTCATTCTTTTCTTTACAGATGTTCTCTACTGTATTTACATTCTTTATACTCTTCTCTACATTCATTACAACCTATACATTCATTAATATACTCATTTCATGCACTGCTGCTCAGTGTGTGAGAATTCTCATTCTCTCAGTGCATTTAAAGTCTCAATCCATTTATTATCTCTCTCTTTATTATAGAAAAATCTCATCAAAAATATCTGAATGCCCTGACTCATACAGCTCAGATCAATCTTCAAATCTTCTTTTCATTCTGCTCTTTTCATACATTCTCTACAGTATTTACATTTCTTATACATTTCTCTATATTCATTTTTGATCTCTGTGTTCATAGCATGCACTGCTAAATTCTCTGTAACATGATCTCATGTGATGTCATGTGCATCTCTTTGAATTCAGATGGGATTGAACAGGTG